TTTTGGTGCATAACGTGCGAGACCCCTGTACAATTTGTCAGAAACAGAAGCTACAAGAACCACATGATGGCTTCAAAGCACGGATTGAAAAACTTGTTCAATTGTGATGGGTAAATACATAGCCTAAATTTTTTTTCGTGAACATCTTATCGCCGCACATGTATGCTGGTAACAGTGCAAAAAACACCTTATACAGTTTTGTAACCTTCCCAACAGTTTAAAGTGATCTCGTGATTTTTCAACTCGGACTGAGTGAATCAGGAATCGACGTTTCAGATTCGGACACCCTGTTACAATTCAGCTGCATATCTAATTAAATTTACTGTACACAAGCTGTTAGTTCTTAATTTGGAGATGGCTGTGAATATAAATAATATTGAATATCTGTCTCAAACTTTATTCGAATACATTTGCTAATAAGGAAAATCTAGATGCCAGATCATTTTTAAAATTTGCCGAACTGCCTAGTTGTTTCAATTGTAACAGCTTTTTTGATTCTATGTCAACTTGTTGCAAGAGTTACAACTGACAAGCTTTATATACTAACTTTTTCATTGACAAGATTAACATGAAATGTTCCATTCCTGGATGTGCTACGTTTGGAAGACGAAGAATTCCAAAAAGAGCCCTTGAATCGGTCAAGCTCACATACCCCGCGTTAGTTGATTGCTCATAACAGTTTTAATATTCGTACATTCTTGGACGGTGGACCTTTGTAGTTACACCTGCAATCATCATAAATACCATTATATAAAACACCGCTCAAACTGTAACCTCTTTCAGGGCATGGATTACGAATGACTCGAGAGTATGCGACACCCACCAACAGCAGTATAAGAACTCTCTTCTGGATGGAATCAGATTCGCCACCATAAAGAATTCTGCGCGAATGGTTTGTGCTCTTTGTCATCGTAATTGCGTCGTACTGTTGTACCCGATTTTAGAACTTTTCCAGACTCCTACATTTCATTATTATTCTATAATAAATCTCATGACTTGAACAAATCACTAAGTGTTCAACTGGTCCACACTCGTTACTCCTCACGTCACGCCATCTAAGATAACGTTGCCCCATTCGTTACCGCATAAAAAATATTTACCCAGGTTCACCAATACACTGGATTACCTAACGGAGAGGTATTTCTTGCCTTGCTGAAGTTCCTCCGGTCTTATCGCAGCCGAACCTCCCTCACCTACGCCGTTACTGGCAACTAACATTCGACCCTCCTGTACGAGGACCAACTGCTCATCACGCTGAAGAAACTGCAGGTTAATCTTCCTGATGATATTTTGGCTGTCGATTTTCAGGTACGCTTTTAAGTAGCAACAGTGGTAGTTTTGGTAACAACAGTTGACCTTTCAAATGGAACTATTAACATGTTGATTTTCGACTTATTACATTTCAAAAGAGTTTTAAAAAATAGATGCAGCTGTTCTAAGGACAGTTTCAAAACTTTTCTCCTATCGAAACTAAATTCAGGTATCGAGATCACAGATAACATCGATATGGAGGTCCTGGCTGGATATCATGGTCAACAAGTTCAAGACCCTGGTTGGCGACGAACTACCGTCACTAGCGCCAGAAAGCAATGCCCGCATGCTTCGCTTCCCACCCCAACACTAGACTCGTACTTGACTATACCGAGGTATGATGTGGGTCCATTACCACTTTACCAGAATCAAATGAGCAGCTACAACTTCAGAGCCCAGACAAAATTATGATAGTCACAACAGATCATCTCAATAAGTTCACACAACATTTCGCTTTGAAGTTTGAACGTGACCAGTGAATTTGTGTTCTCTACAGCAGTACAATTACGGAGGGGTGAGATTTTTGATGTTCATTTTGTTACTGCAGCTGTAGCAATTGAAAGTTCCTACAATCCACAGGTCCCAATTGAAGCTCCGTCCAACATGGAGTCGGGCGCCAAATGTTACAGCCATTATAAGTGTAAGTTCAGTCGATCATACCTATCAGTGTATATTTAATGATGAACTTGCAACGTGAAGTACAGCTCTTCTGCTTTCGTACCTCATACAATGTCCCCTGCTTAATCTTTCTGTTCCCTCTCCAGCTCAGCACACAGCCAAGTTACCGATAGGAATTGCGCCCAGTGGGGTAATCACGTACGTCAGCCGCTGCTATCCTGGTGGCACAACCGATAAGGAGATTGTAGTGGACAGTGCTATACTGCAGAAGCTGACTGTTGGTGACAACGTGATAGCTGACATTCACGAAATTTTACCCGAAGGTTAGTTCCAAGCGTGCTACACTTGAAATGTGAGATTTTTCTGAAAGGGCCCCTAACACTAACAGTTGAAACCAACTTAAATTGTAGCATTTTTCATTTTTGAATGCTGATTGCGAAACCCCAAATGATGCTCCCCTGGCGAGATAACGGTGAAAACTAAAAAACTGTCTTGATCACGTGATATGACCTATGAACTTATAATAAGGATGTTGGTTTATTTTCTCGTTAAGGTTTCAGCATATGCTTAAGTTAGAAATCGGGTTTGTGTTAGGGTTAGGGTCATTGTGGGTGGTTAAGGTTTTAGAGCCAGCTAGAGAACGTGTTGAAACGTCACGTAAGTGTAGAGTGATTAATCTTATTCTTAACTAACCGGAATATATAGCGAATTAAATTTCAGGAGTTACACTCAAGATTCAGTTCACGCCGGAAGAAGTAGCAGCCAGCAGAAAAGTCAGCATCGCCCGCATCCACGTGGAACGCTCCATTGGCTATCTGAAGCGGTACAAGATTTTGGGGAACAAAGTTGTGGCGAAGATGTTGCCTTATCTGAGCGACATCGCATTCGTGTGTGCCCAACTTGTCAATTTGAACCCTGCTTTTTTAAGGGAGGTGGACAGTGATTTTTTTAAATGACCAGGTCAGAAGTGGACAGAGTAACGAGCCAGACGGTACACAGATAGTGGTTACGATAGACCCCTGCTCTACACACTCCTCTCCTGTCGTCAGACCGTCTCCCTTCACCCTCCCCCTCCCACTGGGAGACTTTGGGACCGGAAACTGATCCGGCCCCCAAAGAGGGGTCAGATCACGTCACCAATTAGTGACGTATAATTAGTGATGGAATACAAGGAATACAAGGAATACAAGGAATACAAGGAATACAAATTTAAAATCTTGAGCTACAATAGTAACTGTTAAGATAATAACAATATCATAAGATTTGAATTTATTATATTAATATAACTTAACTAAAGTGAAAAATAAAGATTTGACATAAAATATTTTGTTTTCAGTCGCCTTGGTAATGCTGTAATGCTTGAGCCAGGTCACTTTGCAGTTTGCACTCGTCGTTGCGCGAAAAGAAACAAAAGCGGGTACACTGATTTTCAGTGTTCACTGTTCATGTACTGGCCAGAGAGTCAACAAATTTCTTGCGGTTGTTAAAACACGTAGTGGCAAACCTAGCAACGACTCTCGTGAGGTGGACTTGACTTTCGTTCGTGATAAGTTCAATGATTTCACTGTTGTTGCTGATGAATTTGAGGACGTTTGCTCCAGGGATGACATTGTGAACAGAATAAGATGTCGCAGACGGTTTGATTGGATTTGATATGAGTGACTGGATCTTGTCTAGGACTTTTCGCCTCGATGCAGCGTTAAGATCACAATGGTTAAGGAAGTGGTCTTCATTCTCAATAATACCAGAACCTAAGACTATATTGCACCAGGAGCATATTCGCTCGTCACGTGGAGTTTGATTATATCGGCCAAGTTCAATTTCGAGTCGATGTGCACTGATCCGCAGTCTTGTGATATTAGCACGGTCTGCATATTTAATGACACTATCTAGGTAATACTCTTTGTTAAATTTGGATTTTAGGTCACGATAGAATTCTAATTTCCGAGAAGTGTTGATACAGGACCCCCAATATTCTCTAAAGTTACATTTCAAAGTTTTAGTAATGACGTGTGGTGTGAATATTTTACTCCCGATGGGTTGTGTTGATTGAGGAGGAATTCGTTTCTTGAAACCGTTGTGAATAAGAAAGTCCTCTTTTGGTGGTTTTGCGATACTCGGGTTTCTTTCGAAAAGTAACTTGGAGTGATTGTTTTTGAGTGTGCGGTAGGCTGTGACATGATCGGTAGAGAAACATGGGTCTAGCGCGAGGACAGGCTCCAAACCCCTGTACCAGTCCAATTTCATGTTCATCTGTTCTTTGATCCATGGATTGAATTTAATTGACATAGAAATGAGCTAGATCTGGGGTAGAGTTCACATGTCAATTCTGTAAATCATAGCTGTACATTAAGAAGTAAACATGATCTGACTGCTCGACTCGTAGATCACATAAGGGACGGGAGCTCTTGCTAAAGGGGGGTTCTCGTATCAAGGGATTTGAGACGTACGTGTCAAAGGCATGCAAGGGGAGTGAGCCGATCTAGTGTTTCAGAGGATGTCAACAGGTTGATTCTGACGGATATATCTACAGCAGCAAGAAATATGATGACACCGTCCTCTCCTCTGCTTGGCGTTGCCAGAAGAACAAATCCCTGAAATGTCCTGCCATGTGCTACCTCGCTCTCACAGACAACACTCTTTCCCTTGGAAGTAAACCACACAACCACGATTCGGATCTGGCTACCCCACAGAGACTCGAACTCCTTACAACGCTCAAGAGGACGCAGAACAACCGCTGTCGGCGACTCAGAACCTGATATCGCAACCGCAAGGCTGGTTGCGTTTTTAGCTTTTGTCCCAGTAGCTGATGTTGAGGAGGCTTTCTTTGAAATAACTTTCTACATCCAATCTAACTATCCTGAGTTGATGGTTGTAGTCAATTATTTCGAGAAAACCTACTTAGGGTATTCTTCAGGATCCGGAGTTCCCTCGGACCTCTAACATGGTGGAGGTGTTTCACAGAGGTTTCAAAACCCGAGTGAATCGCCCAAAGCCCTCTGTTCATGGATCACATCACTAATTATACGCCACAAGCTTCAAGCTTGCATGTTAATTACTTGATGACGTATATGGTGGATCATATCACTCCGGCCCCAAAGTCTGGCAGCCCCCCTCCTTACAACCCTGCTGCTCCTACAGCACCTGTGGTTCTTCCTCCTCCTCCCCCTCGACCTGTCGTTCCGGTAACCTCAGCACCTGTTCCAGTTCCCGCTCCCGCTCCGGCTACTGTTCCAGCTCCGGCTACTGTTCCTGCTCCTGTTCCGGCTGCCGCTCCTGTTCCGGCTCCCGCTACAGCAGCTACACCCTCGGCAGCTCCCACCGGTCCTGTTCCGGCCCCTTATCCTGGTTCGAGCCGCACCTTCACCATCGACGGAAAAGTTTCAAAGTACGACTGGATCCTGGCACGTGTCCGGAATGGTGCTACGAAGAAGGAGGCACTCGCTGCAGAGGGGATATCTGAGTCATTTTTCGGCAGGAAGCGCTGCATAGCAGAGGCAGCGAGGATTGACCTACCTTCTCTCCGACATGGATTCCTCCAGCTGATTAATCCCACACTGAAAAACCTTCTACCAGTGGCCAGGGACATCTGTAACCGGAACCGTTCTGCGCTTCGCACACTCCACGCTTCAGGAGAAGCACTCCCTCCCAAGAAGATATACTGATTTATTTTGTTACAGTAATACTTATAGTTTTTAATGGTTATGAGATGTTCCGATTGATACTTTGATAATATAATATTGCTTACCTATTGAATTTTTTAGATACATTATGAACAGATCAATCGTATTTTTCAATTGCTCGTTAATAAATAAATAATATAAACAAAGTTAAAATTGTGTCTCTCAAAATTATATTGCTCATACATATAGTTTAATACTGTCACCAATATAAGTAATATAAATAATGATATCTATCATATAGTAATAAATAATATCATAATAATAAATGATATCTATCATTTATTATTGTGAGGTTAGTAGCCCAGCCATAATTCATATTGCCCGAATGACCGTGCCCCAGGTGGTTTTGCCCGAGATGTGCCCGAGATGTGCCCCAGGTGTGCCCCAGGTGGTTCTGCCCGAGATGTGCCCGATGTGTGCTTTCTGCCCGAGATGTGCCCGAGATGTGCCCCAGGTGTGCCAGAGTTTGTGCCCGACGCGAGGTGTGCCCGAGGTGTGCCCCAGATGTGCATCGGCAGATTACCGAGTTACCCAAAGTTTTCTATTTTCATCTTCGAAGTTCGAATTTTACCGATATTAATTTTATTAAGGATTTGTCATGACTCAATGTTTCTGCAATTTTGGAAATTAAATTCAATTGATGATATTGTAAGGGGTCTTTCACATATTACGTAATCAGTTGAACTTGAGGGGGCGGGGGGGTTTCCGAATGATTACGCCAGTGTAACTTTGACACAATATAGCTATGTGTAAAACTGATTACGGAGGGGGGGGGGGGGTAAAAATGTTCCAAAAAAATGATTACGTAATATGTGAACGACCCCTAACTATATAATGATGATGTAACAAGGTTACATAGCATAGGAGCATAATTCAAGTATGCAGAGTGCAGACAAATATTACTTCTGACTAAATGGTTTCTGGACAGTATGATTTCCCTTTTGAAGAGCTCTTTCTGGCTGTAATGTAACATCCAGAAACTTATTTGGGTCTTTTGTAGTTAACTTTCTTATTGGTCAATGGGCAAAGAATCTTGTCAAAATTCTTTTTGCGGTGGTTTTCTGTCAATTGTTTCATCAAGATTTATGTCCAGAGTTTAAATTGTATGATGTACTTATGCAGTTTTATTTTTAGCCTCCATTCATTATGTCCACCTGGTTTAAGTTTTTATTATGCACAGATTAGCTCTAGTTTAAGTGCAGTATTTTCAACAACAGACTATTATTACATATTAAACAAATTACGTTATTTACTTACTCTTAAATTAAGTCACTTACGTATAGATATTTTTCCCAGAACCATGTCTTTGTTCATTCCACCTTTTTTCAGGTTTTTCTCAGAGACTAATGCTATTCATTACCCTGACAACGTATTCACTGCACAACATTGATATAAGTTAAGTCACATCACCATGGTCACCACATCACCCTGGGAGTATAATCACGTGGTGCGGGTCACGTGGTGCGGGTCAGGTGACTGGGGTAGCGTGGGTGGGCTGCAAACAAACTGGTAGCTGGCTTGCACTCCTGACGCTTTGTTTGTTGTACAGGATATTGTTGCAATTATAGTTATGTTTTCCCTTTGTTAGTGTTGTAAGGTAAGGACCATAAATTTGGGAACTTGAAAACAGAATTTATCAGGAATATCCTATCTTAACCGATGATTACTACCTGTTTAGTATGATATCACTAATTTTTGACCTGAATTATCGTTTACTTTAGGGACCTTAAAAAGTTGTGTCCATTCTCTGACATGACCATTTCAGTAAATTGAAAAAAGAAGTGTGCAGAAGTGAGAGTGTTAAAAAAGTATAAAACGCCGAATGAACGACACAATGGTGACCCCTAGTCCGAGCTCTGGGATGGAGTTTGATATTTATCAGTATTTTACGACACCCAGTCCAGTAAGCCTAGCGGGCTACAACCAGCTCTGTTCTGAGTTCAATCTGGGGACTGATCAGTTCGACGTTTGTGGGGCCATCGTTCTTAGGATGGGGACCTCCGCCTATGCAGGTTCTATCTTGTCAAATCTATTTTAGCTGCTGAATTTGTTATTTCCTAACGTTACCGTTATATTAGCCATGTTGATAAATCAGTAAGATATTGTATTTTCACTTTTCATCCCCAAAGTTAGTCTTATGTTGATTCAATTGTTGTATGATGTTTTTATGTTTCATCTTTAATTTTCACGATTTAATCTTCACGTTCCCATAATTTCCAGCGTTTCTGCTGATAACGTCCATCATGTTGCTGAGATACAACAAGACTGAGAAAGGCTACGAGGACATAGAAGTAAAGTACTCCAAACTGAGGATGCACAAACTCACCTGGCTACTCCTTATCTTCACCCTCATGTTCGAGCACTACCAACTCGCTACCTGGTACGTGTCAAACACAAGGAAATATCTTGAAATCTTGAATTAATTAAAACACAGAGCGAATAAAGAAAATTTAACTCACGTCTTACGGTTAATTAGAGGGTCATACTACAGTCTTACAGTGACATATTGATCAAGACAATTAATATTGCATAGTAAACAAAACTATATTAAGTTACGTGGTGTGTCTCCAGGTTGGTTCTGTTCTGGAGTAACCCTCTGATAAAAGCGTACGCTATCTCAGTCTACCTCATAGCTACTCCTGCTGCTTGGATTTATTTCTACAGAGTGGAGAAGTACCATGTTAACCCTATCTTCTTAGTCGGGTTAGTGGGAACAGAGCGCGGTACTGCCAGTTTTAACTGTTAATTACTGGTAATTATATCATTAATTACTAATTAATTTTATCGTTAATTAACCACTAATTGTATGATCTTATTGGATGTTAATGTCAACCAAATTATAAGCTTTTTACCATGTCATTACTCACTTATTATTAATTCCTATCTCACTTTTTGCTTACTAACCATTAACTAATTATTCACTTATAACTGCCTACTTTTTACTTACTAATTATTGACTAATTAACTAATTATTAACTAATTATTCACTTATAACTACCTTCTTTTTACTTATTAATTATTGACTTATTAACTAATTACTAACTAATTACTCACTTATATTTATAACTACACACTAATCACAGGCACACAATGTATACCGGAGTGGTAGCTTGCATTAACTACATGCTATTCGTGTCCTTCCTTCCCCAAGCTTCTCAAGCAGATGGTGATTTCTCTTTTTGAACTTTCTTTCTGTCGTTGGAAAAAGCTGTTTAAACATCATTTCCGACAAAGTGATCATTGAATAATGAATATTCAGTATCATTCGAAATGTACCATTACCTCATTACGTACGTATTACATATCCTCAGTACCATAGTCTTGTTTTGAGGAGGTAATATTTTAAGGGAGCGTTCACATATTACGTCCCCCCCCACCCCCCCATTGGCTTGCTGACGTAATATGTGAATGCTCCCTAATAGTTTTAAATCCTCCCTGGCTCCCACACCCCTAATCATCAAACTCCCCCAGGTCTCTCTGGAATGGATGTCAGGTTTGCAATGTCTGGTTTGGCTCTGTTGGCTCTCAGTATACATACTGCTATCTGCTTCATCAACATCTTCATACCGGTATAATGTGGTTTACATATTTAGAAAGTATTATTGATCTTTCAAATCTCTATTATAAAACGATTAGAGATTTAAGGGGGGGGGGGGGGGGGGGGGGGGGGGGGGGGGGCCAATGGGTATTTTTTTGTGAAACTTGATTTCGAGATAGCAATTGACCAACAAACTAAGACCAGTGACCGAACTTTTGAGGGGGTCCCGGACCCCAACCGCCAAACGGTGCGCGCATGGCAGCCACGCCCATATTTGGTCCAAATTAGGCCCAATTTAGCCAAACACCCTGAACATGCCCAAAACCAAGGTTTATGGTGCTCTACTTGTAGCTAGTGGTCTCCTGAACTCGTATATGAAATTTCATCAAGATTGGACAAAAAATGACTGAGTTATGAGCCAAAAACCATATGCCCATATTTGGGCATACGCACCAAATTTGGTAGATTTCGTCCCATAAATTGGTCAAATATCAATATTTTTGAATGAAACTTACTTTATATGAAAGGTAAGCCTAAACTACATATTATCTGTAAGTTATAGCTTTATATCTGTTTAAATGTGGATACTAAGGCGAAAAAACCACAAAAAATGAACTAAATTGCCCATATCTCGGTTCGCGATATTTGCGGAATTGATCTCATTAAAATTGTAACAACTCAATCAGTTTTCAAAATTTTTGCATGAAATTTTCGGAATCGACTCGAAATCGCATTTCCACCTTATTTTAAATACGGATTTTTGATTAAGGCCTCCAAAAAAATTTGGCGGCCAAATTCTGAATTTTTGTGAGATAATTTTGGAATTTGGCCGCCAAATTTTTTTGGAGGCCTAAATCAAAAATCCGTATTTAAAATAAGGTGGAAATGCAATTTCGAGTCGAATCCGAAAATTTCATGCAAAAATTTTGAAAACTGATTGAGTTGTTACAATTTTAATGAGATCAATTCCGCAAATATCGCGAACCGAGATATGGGCAATTTAGTTCATTTTTTGTGGTTTTTTCGCCTTAGTATCCACATTTAAACAGATATAAAGCTATAACTTACAGATAATATGTAGTTTAGGCTTACCTTTCATATAAAGTAAGTTTCATTCAAAAATATTGATATTTGGCCAATTTATGGGCCGAAATCTACCAAATTTGGTGCGTATGCCCAAATATGGGCATATGGTTTTTGGCTCATAACTCAGTCATTTTTCGTCCAATCTTGATGAAATTTCATATACGAGTTGAGGAGACCACTAGCTACAAGTAGAGCACCATAAACCTTGGTTTTGGGCATGTTCAGGGTATTTGGCTAAATTGGGCCTAATTTGGACCAAATATGGGCGTGGCTGCCCTGCGCGCACCGTTTGGCGGTTGGGGTCCGGGACCCCCTCAAAAGTTCGGTCACTGGTCTTTGTTTGTTGGTCAACTACTATCTCGAAATCAAGTTTCACAAAAAAATATCCATTGGCCCCCCCCCCCTTAAGAGGGTTACAAAATTCTGTTTTCACTTAGTAGACCTCTAATAAGGGCTCGACCAGGATCCCGATCAATAAAAAGCCGGAACCCAGGTTAACGTTTTTATCCCGGTCCCTGCCGGGATGAGGGTTTTGTCCCGGTACACCATATAAGGCCTCACCTCATGAAACCCACTAGAGGACAAACAAGACGGACTACACGAAATTAAATCTGGATGACGATAATGACGAGGATGACGACAAAAAGGAGCAAGAGGTGAAGATTAGTTACGACGACGACCCATTCCCTGAGCAGCTTATACTGTGGTTTGTAGGTGAGTTTTTAGGGTGACAACAGCTAGTAATTGTTAATGTTAGGTTAGCAGCTAGTTCACTAGTTGTTAATGTTAGGTTAGCAGCTAGTTCACTGGTTGTTAATGTTAGGTTAGCAGCTAGTTCACTAGTTGTTAATGTTAGGTTAGCAGCTAGTTCACTAGTTGTTAATGTTAGGTTAGCAGCTAGTTCACTAGTTGTTAATGTTAGGTTAGCAGCTAGTTCACTAGTTGTTAATGTTAGGTTAGCAGCTAGTTCACTAGTTGTTAATGTTAGGTTAGCAGCTAGTTCACTCTAGTTGTTTATGTTAGGTTAGCAGCTAGTTCACTAGTTGTTAATGTTAGGTTAGCAGCTAGTTCACTAGTTGTTAATGTTAGGTTAGCAGCTAGTTCACTGTTTGTTAATGTTAGGTTAGCAGCTAGTTCACTTGTTGTTAATGTTAGGTTAGCAGCTAGTTCACTGGTTGTTAATGTTAGGTTAGCAGCTAGTTCACTAGTTGTTAATGTTAGGTTAGCAGCTAGTTCACTAGTTGTTTATGTTAGGTTAGCAGCTAGTTCACTAGTTTTTAATGTTAGGTTAGCAGCTAGTTCACTAGTTGTTAATGTTAGGTTAGCAGCTAGTTCACTAGTTGTTAATGTTAGGTTAGCAGCTAGTTCACTTGTTGTTAATGTTAGGTTAGCAGCTAGTTCACTAGTTGTTAATGTTAGGTTAGCAGCTAGTTCACTAGTTGTTAATGTTAGGTTAGCAGCTAGTTCACTAGTTTTTAATGTTAGGTTAGCAGCTAGTTCACTAGTTTTTAATGTTAGGTTAGCAGCTAGTTCACTAGTTGTTAATGTTAGGTTAGCAGCTAGTTCACTAGTTGTTAATGTTAGGTTAGCAGCTAGTTCACTAGTTTTTAATGTTAGGTTAGCAGCTAGTTCACTAGTTGTTAATGTTAGGTTAGCAGCTAGTTCACTAGTTGTTAATGTTAGGTTAGCAGCTAGTTCACTAGTTGTTAATGTTAGGTTAGCAGCTAGTTCACTGTTTGTTAATGTTAGGTTAGCAGCTAGTTCACTGTTTGTTAATGTTAGGTTAGCAGCTAGTTCACTAGTTGTTAATGTTAGGTTAGCAGCTAGTTCACTAGTTGTTAATGTTAGGTTAGCAGCTAGTTCACTAGTTGTTAATGTTAGGTTAGCAGCTAGTTCACTGTTTGTTAATGTTAGGTTAGCAGCTAGTTCACTGTTTGTTAATGTTAGGTTAGCAGCTAGTTCACTGTTTGTTAATGTTAGGTTAGCAGCTAGTTCACTAGTTGTTAATGTTAGGTTAGCAGCTAGTTCACTAGTTTTTAATGTTAGGTTAGCAGCTAGTTCACTGTTTGTTAATGTTAGGTTAGCAGCTAGTTCACTAGTTGTTAATGTTAGGTTAGCAGCTAGTTCACTGTTTGTTAATGTTAGGTTAGCAGCTAGTTCACTAGTTGTTAATGTTAGGTTAGCAGCTAGTTCACTAGTTGTTAATGTTAGGTTAGCAGCTAGTTCACTTGTTGTTAATGTTAGGTTAGCAGCTAGTTCACTAGTTGTTAATGTTAGGTTAGCAGCTAGTTCACTAGTTGTTAATGTTAGGTTAGCAGCTAGTTCACTAGCTGTTAATGTTAGGTTAGCAGCTAGTTCACTAGTTGTTAATGTTACCACCTCCACAATTCATCATGTCACTTTACAGGAATTAACCAAACAGCTCCGCCAGTTACACTTTTAAGATTTAAATGAAACGTGCTACTTTATCAATGTACCCGTAAGTTTAAATAAATTCTTGTCCAGGCCCCGTTCTATGGAAGCACAGGAAGCAGACGTTTTCTAAAAGAGATCTGGGAAAGATACCTGACAGATTTGATCCTATGGGGTTCTCAGAGAGGATGTGGATCGTTTATAATAAGAATGAGGTCAGTTAGGGGAGGGGTTGAGTCCCTGCCGCTCTGAAGGGGGGGGGGGGGGGGGGTGTTGAGTCCTTGTTGCTCTGAACCTCAATTTTTGCGATTTATATTTATATAAATTTTATTTCGTCGAGTAAAAATCAAACAAAAAAGTTTTCACAACACTAATAGACAAGAATCTGTACACCATAAGATAAGCTACTTAAATTTAATTGGTCGACCCCTAAATTTAATCACAATCTACGAAAATTAAAGGTGCGAAAATAATTTAATTTTTAAAACCGCGAAAATGGGTGCCAGCGAAAATATTTGGTTTTACAGTACATAGCGGACAGCGTAAGAGCAAACATCAAATAATTAATTTTCAAAAACAATAACTAATAAGAATCTGGAAACAACATACATATTAAATTGAAACCTCACATTAAACCTCACTTGAATCACATTTCAGAAAATGCAAAAGCACCTTAGACTACTGTGGGCTCTGTTCCGGTCCTGTCTGATGCCGGTGGTAACCACGTTTGGGTTGATGATGTTGGTAGAGGTGTTCACTTTAGCACCTCCTCTCATGCTGGGTACCATGATCACGTTCGTGGAAAATGGAGGTACTCAAGTTGAGGTGGGTGTTACCTTCTTTAACCTCACTTTCGTTATATTCACTTTCACTTCTTTAACCGTTCTCGCTTTCATTATCTCCACTTTCACCTTCACATTTACTTCAATTGTACTTCTTCTTCCACTGCCGTCACTAAATTAAGTGGCACAACTTCATACTTTCACACTCACAAGATCCATCAGGAAAACGTAAGAACTCAAATCTTTTCCTCGTTAACAGCATGATATTTAGAGTCCCCCCTTAACCCAGGCCTTACTTGGAAATTATTAGTCACAAGGCTCCTGAAAGAAGATGTGAAACTCCTGCTAGTCTCGGAGACACTGAGCCTCCCCCTGCTAAGGAACTGTCTGAAATGCTTCATCCGCCACCAATACAACACCGGGTTAACCGTGGAGTTGAGGACCTGGGACACCCCGTACACCACCAGCCAGGTATACTGCCAGGCTGGTCCGAATGTGGTGTACACTCTGCTGGCGTACTTGAAGAGCAGTTGCTCGGAGTAGTTGGAGGCGTGTAGCAGGGTCAGGCACGTGCAGTAAATGTACGCTAGGTATACCGTCATGCAGAGGGCTGGTATGTTGAAGATAACGTACACTAGTGTCACCATCAGGATTGTTACCGATGCTTCTTTGTGTTTGGTTACCGGCTTATTCTGCCTTTTGTTTTCCTTGTTTTCCTTGTTGTCCCTTGTTGTCCTTTCATGTCCACTGGTGATGCGGAGAGATCTTGCGTCTGCTTTCTTTAGAAATTGAAGGGATAAAACAAGGGATATAAAGATAGGAAAGACGGGAAGTCCTAGAAAGCAAGCCTCGGTGATGGTCACCACGAAGGACTGTCTGAAGTAAGGCCGCCAGTCCGTGGCTGTAGGAGTAGTTAGCGTGGTCATGCTGATCGGTGTTATGTAGATGGGAGTTTGACTTGGATCATCAACTGTGATCCTACACATGGCGTTATCCGGCGCATACTGTACCACCGCGTAGTCTGTAGCTAGGGGTAATATACCAAGTACGATTAGTACAAAACCAGCAAACAGAGACGGGATGAGCCAGGAGTTTCTCAGGGACATCACTTTGCTGGTTGTCATGAGTATTGTGAGCCGGGATATGCTCAGGAATGCCACCATGAACACTGCTCCTTGGGTGGTAAAACTTGTGTTAGATTCTCTAAAAATGTCTCATTTAATTTTACTTATTTAGTAATTTCTAAACAAAGACTGGTTTTAAAAAAGGAAGTAAGATTCCACAAAAACCTTGTTTGATGAGCAGCCAGATAATGTACCAGGAGTAACAAAAGGGCGCCCCTCTGAACAGGAGATCTGGAGAGTCTCTCCCTGGGCAATTAATACCATTCCAATTAATGTTACAAATTAGGACAACACATCAGAAAAGTAGAACCAAGAAACGTAAAGCAAGGAACGCTTGCAAAAGGAGTCAAGTTGTTCCTACGATTTCATAGAAATACAGATTTCATAAAAATACTGATTTTATAGAAAAACAAATTTCACTTTCTCTTCACAATCGCACAGAACCCACCCAATAGGAGAGTCTGTGCTATCGGGAGTTGAGCGATACCAATCATGACATCAATAAAGCTGATGATAGTGTAGATCTGCTTGAAGAAGGAACTGTTCTTGTTCTTAGTGATTTGTGTACAGAAGTGGTAACAAGCGGCACAGTTGGCAGGGATACCCAGTATAGAACACACCTGGGGAGAGAAGTCGGGAGGAAACTAGACACATTAAAGTAAAATATAATGTACCGACTGTGAGAGTGAAAGCAATACACGTTAACATTGAAAGTAAAAGTGAAAGCACTGAATTGAAAGTGAAAGCACCACCCACCAGCAGGATACTCCCCAGGACCAGGTCCGCTTCTCTAATGGGAGGTTGTGCTCGAGGGAGTATAATTGTTGTAAGACTGAGATGGTGACCTGCTGTTGTCATGGTTACTTCCTGGAGTATTAGTATTTGAGCTGATTAGATTCTTCTGCAGTTCTAATGCGATTCATTTCAAACAGGTTTACTGAATAAAAGGTAATCCTAAACTATACATTCTCAAATATATATAGCTTAATATTTATAGAAATGTGGAAACTAAGGCCAAAAGACCACTAAAAATGAAGAAAACTGCCCATATCTCAGTTCTTCCCCAAAAGGCTTTTTCATTTTTCAAAATTTTCCCATGAAATTTTCAGGTTAGGTTTAGAATCGTCTCAGGATCTTATCTTATACCCCGGATTTTTGATTAAGGCCTTTTCAAAAAATAATTTTGCACAAAACTTTTGTTTTTGGCCACCAAATTCTTTTGGTGGTCTGTTGGGGTCCGGGACCCCTCAAAAGTTTGATCATGGGTCCTAGTTTGTTGATCGACTGCTATGTTAGAATAAAGTTTCACAAAAATTTCAGGCTGACTCCCTTACAACATCTCCCCCCCCCCCCCCCCCCTTACAACATCTCTCCCCCCCCCCCCCCCCCCCCCCCCCCCTTACAACATCTCTCCCCCCCCCCCCCCCCCCCCCCTTACAACATCCCTCCCCCACTAAAATTTAATATTTTAATTGTTACCATTACGGTGCAGCAATTTGACCATTTACGGAAAGTTAAGTTAACATCAGTCCCCTTTGCGCAACCTATCACTCAAGCAATCCACAGAACATACACTCAATTAAATCAACGCAGCACATTATTAGTCATTAAGCACGAGTATACAATTGAAGAAATGGGGACATCAAAAAGTTTCCTTTTGCGTACCACATTCTTACAGATCTTGATGTTCTTTTGACACCGTGACACGTGACAGTGTTCTGAGAGTTGATTTGTAGCTGCAGAAACAGTACTCATGGCTATCAGATGTCAAAACAAGAAATCTAATTAATTGGATTGTGACGCCAGATTTCATGGTTTACCGTTTAGGCATATAAAAACACCGGGGTCGGGTGGCGGGGTCAACATGTCCACTGTCCAGCATCCAGTTCATTTCCATTTATCTAATTTTGTAAACTATAAAGTTACTAACGCCTGTAGTACAGACACCTTATTAAAACTTTCATTTCAGGACCCCCTGTATCTGACCATCGGAGAAGCCGTAACTAACGGATTTATGATTTGCGGCTTCATGATAAATCTTATGGCAGGCAGGTCGATTCTGTCTACCTACGCTCAGCTCATCAAGAAGAATGCTGTCCTTAACGCATTTAATACCATGCAGGTTGGTTTCACTTTCACTTTTATTTTATCTGATTTTAAGGGAATAGCACTGATTGGTTAAGACTAAACAAGTTCACAAGTAAGAATGCTGTAATAAGGTAAAGAGAATGCGCTGCTAAAACTAAACACATACCCTACTGCAATTATACCCGTTTTGTACTCTTAGTATAACTAATATCATACTACGATAACCCTCGGACCAACTCTTTCTTCATTTGACTCCAGCCAGTATTAACCAGATGAAAAATTTACGAACAGGGCTGTATTAATCAAACCCATTAACACTGGAGGTTTCTATACCATAAACTCATAAATAGTAATAAATATTCCATCTAGAAAACGTAGCTGCAAACCTTTAACAACTAACAAGCAGCGGATAATAGAGTAAAATGAATTAGGTGCTAGTTGTTTTAATTCAAAACGACTTGTTTATAAATCCTCAAATCCTGCTTGATATCCGGTGCAAACTGTTTCTGCTTTACAGAATATTATCGTGCTTGGCTTGGCTTGTCATGTCATCAAAATATGATCGCAACGATTATGTAGAATGCTAAATTATGAACCATGGCAAGATTTGGACGAAGTGCATTCGGCAACCTTTATAGATTAAACTTACTCTTTTTTAACTTGTTCTGACTTAAATAATACAATTTGACGGATGAGTCGTGATCTTGATATCCGTTTGGAATATAATCATTATTAAATATCTTAATATGTCTGATTATATCAGACATAGTAATAATTACAATAATCAAATTAATCAGACAGTAATAATAATTACTGTTACTAAATACATACTAGAGTATTAGAATAATCTACACTACTGATATTTGCGACTAAATGCGATAGTCACTTGACAAGCTGAAGCAATATAATAATTAAAAGAGCTTCTCGTATATGGCCTAAATACTACATTTAGTACTATAATATAATAGTTTGAGGTTAGTCACGTAGGTCGTAGACATAGGAACGACGTATCTCGAGGCGACCCACCTGTGACTCTACTAGTTTCGGCTTATCACGGCCATCCACAAGGGATTATCACCTAGCAAATCATACTACAAAATATTTAATGAGAACAGACAGAAAATCAAACCGAAAAAATAATAACAGAAAAAATTGAAACAATCGTAAATTAAAGAACAATTAAGAATATAAACGAGAGAAAGGGAACTACATTAATAAACAATTATAATCCTAACTGCATCGACTATAACCAAATTAATCTTTTATAAAATTAATCAAACAAAAAAAATCAAAAATTGACAAATATGACGGTAAAAGTTCAATTAAAACAAAATCCATTATAAATTACCACTGACCTTCCTTTTATCTATGTAATATAGTTTTTGCTTTAAACTTTTCCATAAACATATTTTGTTTTAAAAGTACGTGTCCCTACCTCACTACTGGGCTGCGAAGCTGAGGTCGCAACATCACAACATGGGACTTAATTTACCGATAGGTACAATACAACAAGCGTTAATGACTCCAGAAATAGTGTTCGTGGTTAAAAACTGTTGAACGTCTGGCTTGAGTAGAACATAAGGTGCAGAATTATGAACTCAGCTTGCGTCCCCAATCTCCATAATTGTTTACTTCAGTGCACTTAATTTCCAACCCACCCAGAATGAAAATGCACGTGCGCTATACCGCAACCAATCGCAGCCTCCCAATTTAATTAAACTGCAGATTGCACTGCGATAGATATGAGTCCGAGTGCATATTGCATATTGCATAATGAATTATTGTATAAAACATTTGACCACGATCACGTGGATAGTGGCAAATATTGTTTTAAGAGAAAACCACAATCGATCTTACTGAGTTACTGCTAACACAGCATGGATACAATTACCTAATTGGTTTAAGAGTTCTAGGCTACCAAAGTTGATAACGTGTAGTTGTATAGCATTTGATAAGGCCCCCCTTTTATATCATACTATTGTGTCTAATGAGTATGATTTGTTAGGTCGCCAAACTTGTAGCATATAAAAGTGGCTTTTTCCCGTAACAGTGATGCAAGTATAACAGAGCAAACCAAAAACGATTAAATAAATAAATTGCTTTTATCACTGATCTCAGAAGGCATCAACTCAACTTAGAGCAAGTTATAAGTGACCGGTGACCGGTCCTGTCATCATGGGAAAACGTATGAAGAATGGTGTTGAAAGGTTAAAATAGCTGAAAAATTGTCGAAACAGAGTCAATGTTTTCTCAAAAAATTGATTAGCATTTGACCATGCGTTTGTAACAAGGAGTCTCGTCCGAATTTGGATACCGAAAGTGGTCGACTATTGTTCAAACACGACTCTGGTAACAAAAAAAGGGATTATAGGCCGATTTTTACAACTAATGCGGTACAACTAACGCGGTATAACTATATAACGCGGTATATGTAACGAGTTAAAGCAAATATGTTATAATTGACGCGTTAGAGTAAATGTGTTACAACTAACGCGTTACAACTAACGCGTTACCACTGCCCTGTAGCTGACGACACGTTAAAACGTAACGAATGTAACAAGAGTGTATATTACATTTCAGTTCAGTGTTGGACAGAAGGTGTTAAAGTTGGAATCTCTCAAACACAACGAAGAGTACAAGTTTGGAAAGATTATAAACTTGATGTCACAGGTTGATCCCTCAAGTTCACGTTTGCTTTTCGTCTTGCTTTTATTTTTACTCTCGATTTTACTTGCTCGTTCTTTTTTGCTCTCACTTAATTTACAATTGCTTTTCAGGACGTGAAAAAGACGACAAACTTCCTAAACTTCATCCCTGGCTATATCATCATTCCACTAAAGTTCTGTGCTATAATGTACATCATGTTAAATGTGATTGGTAAAGCTGTTTACATCGCCTTCCCCGTATCATTTGTAAGTTTTTTTTTTCTTATAGCATTATACAGTAATACTGCAAATACAATAAGAGCTCTTTCTGTGTTTATCGCAATTTGTCTCCCGAAAATGTTTCGAGTATTAACCGGGGTTCTCGGTAAATTGGGGTTTGCAATAAGTAGGCGTTAGCAGTGAATCAGGGTTTTGATGTATCATAAATTACTGAACACTTATCACCGAAACTTTGGTCAAATTTCACATATTTTTGGCAAAATTAGGGGTAAATGCTAACGATGCTAATATTAGTAAAAAAACAGAATACGTCATAAATGCTATGACCAGTACAGTGCAAAAGTTTTAGATTAAGCAAACAAAATAGAAAAGCTCTGAGCAAGAACCTACTTGAAAGTCAGCGCGTTGTTTAAAGTACAAGCTAGGAGCCAGATTGAAAACCTCCGCTGAGTTTGTGGGCAGACACGAGTATTAACATCCTCGTGTAAATATTTCTGTATATTGTTTGAATAGGTTCATTGCTGAACGTATGACCCTTCCTTCTACGAGGATAAACTCAACCAAAGTAACCAAAGTAAGTATGGTTACGGAGTCTAATGAGGCAGTTAGATTTACTGACGAATCAGATGATGACTGATGAGGTCATTGCGTAGGGTAGCATACGTTAATTTACAAACTCTGACACTAAAACCTGGTATCCGCTTTAAACTACGAAAACAATCCCGGTTCGGTCCCGGTCAAAATTCGGCATTTTAGCCGGGAACAGGAGGAGGAGAGAGGAGAGCGAAGAGGAGGGGCAGGCATTTTCCATCTATTACTGCATGATCATGCATGAGAAGGACTGGTAGAATGCACGAGACATGCACTTGATATCACATCCCCCCACAGCATCACTTTACATTATGTGACCCTCTGCAATGTCGAGTGATCCTTGGGCGCAACTGTCGAGTGTCGTTTTGAGAATCTGATATGACGAACCAGATCATGTCACTAATTGTGAACCTGTTAATTGCCTGTTAAGGTGTGGGAAATAGGCGCAACTGTCGGTAGGCCCTCCTAAAATATAGATGAGCTGCGGGCCCACATGGGGCCTAATTAACCCTAAAACATGCAAATGGATGTATACGGCTGTCACAAGACCCATTCTAACGTACTGCTGCAGTATATTAATATGGATAAGGGCAGTACTTACTGATTACGGCACAAAGAAGTTGAGACGAGTCCAGTACTGGCACTCAGAATCATGTCTGATGTTGTGGTGAACGAAGTAGCTAAGTACTTCGTTCTCCACAAGAGGAGGACATACACCAAAACCGTTTATGATTTGACTGGGGATTTGACTTCATATTTGTTAATTAATATAAATTAAAACAATAAGAATTGTTGGATGTTTTCTGTCAACTTGGTAAAGTTTTTCACTGTCCCCTTAACCACATGACATCACTGGCACAACAGATATCACTGCCAGACTGCAAGCATACGGTAGCTGGTATAATTATAGAACCTTTCAACTCTGGCAAAAAGGGGAAGATAAAAGCTTACATCACCAGACAGTTCATGATAGATTTTGACATACCGGCTCGAGTAGAGAGATCATCATGCTTTCCTTTCGTCATGGGTCATCTAAGTCCATGAACCTTTCTTTTTTTGGTTAAAAAATATCCAGCATGTTAATGTTATCATATCTTGTAGATATCACGAAGGCCCAGCTAGCAAACCGTGATCATCACATAAAATCAAAGGAAGATGCGAACATTAAATCACAGCCTTGCTCGTTCACGGCACTGTTCAAGTAAAAGCTGGTCAAATACATTTCGATGAAAAAACAAGATCTTTTAGCTAAAGGCTAAAATGGAGATTAAATAGTTTATGACGGGATTTTCTTATTAATCACAATATTAAAACAGCTTAACCATGTGACCGAGCTTGTTATTTCACCCCATCATACGTTTTTATATTCGACAGACATGGTCGAGAACTTTGAGCTGTTAGTAGCTATCAGTAGGTCAACCTGAACTATTAGAAATACCGGTACTGACTAAGGGGTCAAGCTGTTCGATAATTCAAGCTGTACCTATGCGATTAATTACGAGCTGTATGCGATTAATTACGAGCTTTGAAAAAGCCAAACGATCATAATATAAATTTAATATATCATTGAATTAGGTTATTAGAAAGAAACGAATAAGTAATAAGTAGATATTATTACCTAATGTTATAACTTATATCTGTCAATACCCAGACGGTATGTTACGAGAGATTTCGATCAACGAAATACAAAGAACAAGTTATAGATATTCAAAATGATTCATATAGTAATAGATACAACTTTAGAAATGTTATCAAACTAGAAGTTTCGCATAATAAATTCATAGATATCTGTTAAAAACCGTGCTTATTTGTAAACGCTTATTGCTAGTATGCTACGAGTGCTTATTATTGCAAGTGCTTAATAGCTAAATATTTGTATTATAGCAATTAATATCTAACAGTAAGACGTTGAACCGAGACACACATCGTAGCAGATAATGTGATCTGATTTGAAACTTTCAGCAGATAGTACAGAATTACACAGCAATGAAATAAAATAAAAAGACTGGGGACAAAGAATTTGTAGGCTCGGGAAATGCTCAGACTAGTAAGAGCAGGCACAAGCAAACAGAAATTGATCAATTGTACTCATTGTACTCATGCAAACTAGTTCCTTGTGTTTGACATTATAATCAAACTCAGGGATCGGCCACAAATAGAGTATAAATCTCGCAGTAGCCTGCAAAATGGCAGTCTTACCGTCGAACTTAACAAGGTGGTTACCAAGGTGGTTACCAAGGTGGTTATACAGCCAATTAACCACAAAGCCATGGAAAGCTACCATGATACAGGAAGGTTCCAGACAGGTCTGTACACCTTCACAAAGAACCTAGAACCTAAACCTATACCGTACAACATAGGAATATGTACTAGGTGCATACTGTGTATATTCTATGGTTCATGAGGGGACACGAAGTGAGTTGGATAGCAAAATGACAGCACATGATATTGATAAACACGTGAGGCAGAATATTTAGACATTTTAGAGAGTATAAATTAGGACACACAACGCCGACATGGCGCAGTACGCACAACAATTATGTTTCAAGCTTATCCTGCGGGGCCCGGGATAACAGATAAGTGGATAACAATTCAGAGTGCGTACAGCTGACACTGTCAGCAGTTGAATTGTTATACTTAAATTAATGTACCGATAAATAATTATTTTAATAACAATCCCGCATGCTACGCTGTCAGTTTCGGAATAATCGTTTTAACATTTACCTTACTAGTACTACTGGTTCACGTGACAAAATAGAGTAGTGCGTGGATAATAGTTTTTCGTTTGAAAATAATTTAAACTAGAACGTACCAATTCGACGGAGGAAATATTACTCGATGTAAAGCAAACCAGGTTGTGTGAATATAAGGGGTGGGTTATTAAAACTGCACAGGATTATTTATTTAGCGGGAAAAACTGCGGGATGAATAAAGATAATACCGCCCCTTATTTTCTATCCCTCCCCTTACTCTTAGCTCCTTAGCACTTAGCAATAGCAGCTGTATTGCGGAGGAGTTTATAACATCGGTTCATTACTAGTGGTGCACACTGCACAGCACCTTATCATTGCGAAATGAAAGATTAGTTTTTAATGGCTATAGCAATAAAAGAATAAAGTAAATGCGTCACTTCGTGATAAGATGACAAAAGGATGGTATATAATAATTGTAGGACCGATCCTAAGTTAAGCGGCGCGGAGGGGGCTGCTCACGCCACTCGAATCTGACGGAAAATGGTGTAGACTGAGAAATTACCAACTTTCTGAAACGTAGTGTGATAAAATATAAGGGAGACTGGGTACAAAATTTAGCAAGTTGTTGAGGATAAGGTTGGAAATCAGTAGAACTGAATTACTCCCACCCCCCCCCCCCCCCCCCCCCCCCCACTTACTATCGATCTCTAACCCGAGCAGACCGAATCTCTACCAGGGGTTTTAGTTAAGCGGCAGGGATTCAGTCAGCCAATCACATACCTCACAAGTAGTATTAAGGCCGCGGTTGTGACTATTATATTTGTAAATCCCATCAAATATCGATCATCCATATATTATCAAAATTGCAATATTGATAGTATCAACTTTGAGTGGTGTCATTCCCAAATCTTCCGGGCAATCACATACTTTTGTGACTATTAGAGTTTTAGGCCAGGAAGAATTCCATAAAATGGCGACTTTAAATTTCTTTACAAGGATTATATGAATAATCCCGAGCTCCACGTACAAATTATACGGCTCGACGCGTAGTTAATTAATAATTATCTCTTTGGTAATTCGGGGGGGGGGGGGGGATGCAACGTCAATTAATGTCAGTATTCCATAAAAACCCCAAACTGACATTGACATTAATTGACATTAATTGACATTAATTGACATTAATTGACATTAATTGACATTAATTGACATTAATTGACATTAATTGACATTAATTGACATTAATTGACATTAATTGACATTAATTTGTCTTGAAATTTGAGATTATCATTATTCGATAAATATTCAAGATATTCACGTCTATGTAAGTTAGACCGGTTCAAAAAAACAAAATGTCCTTGAATAATTATGAGTATGTTCTTATCTGTTGATCCTTAGGTTCAAAGACCACCAAAAAAATTTCAGCTTCCAACTCTTCCATCTTCGGTCCCCACCGGCCACGCCCATATTTTATTGGTTTCTTATACAGGTAAAATATCTAGAATCGGCTTTTTTAGTATGAAGGAGTAATGTTAGCTGTTTCAGATTCGTTATTCAAATATAAATGTCATGAAGGCATTTCGTTTAATGTGGGTTTTAAGTTCTGATGATGTTGAGAACCACGCCCTTGGATGGCCACGCCCATTTAAGAAAATTAAATTTCGGAAAACCGTATTATTTTAGTTTTATTGTTTAATGATCTGAATTTTTTCACATTTCACATTTCCATATGTGATAGTAGTGAATAAATTGATGATATAAACGTTCTAAAGTGCTAAAAATATGGTAGAACTACATAATCTCTGGTCGAAAAATATCGTGTCAATTAATGTCAGTATTCCAAAATTTTGCAAAACTGACATTGACATTAATTGACATTAATTGACATTAATTGACATTAATTGACATTAATTGACGTTGCATCCCCCCCGGTAATTCTTAGGTTATTCTCCAGGATTTAAATATTTATGTTTCACGATAGCACTTGTTGGTCATTTCGGATAAAGATAAAGGGGTGGATATGTCATGTGACCATTGAACGTGACCATGCAATGCAATACGAACTGTGCAATATGACTATGATTTGGAATGGATGAATTGTTTATAATACCTCACATATACGTATAGTAGTGACTATAATGCTCAAGCTAAAATGTATTTCCTAATATGGTATCATAACCCCTTAACAGGTGCTGTATCTGTCCCAAGTGATCATAATCAGACTGACAGTGAAATATAGGAAGGAGAGACTGGAAGTGTTGGACAACCGAAACACTGAAGTTAAAAACATGTTCAACGTCATACGACTCCTCAAGATATACAACCTTACTGATGTCTACAGGTAGGTGGGGAGGCAGTGTTTTTATTACCTTACATGGGCATCACCTGACTAATGTTACCTTATATGGGCACCACCTGACTTACGCATTAGTTAGATCGGAGGGATCAAAACGATATCAATCTTTAATTAGATTAAGGCTGTTTAGAACGTAAAACTACGCTTCCAAAAATAAAAAGTTCCTTATTTGAAACAAAAATGATTGTGCATCAGTATAGTACCAGAATATTTAAAAACCAAAGAATGAAAGAATGATACACTCAACTAAAGTTTGACAATAACAAACTTGAATGATTGGGCGATTGATTATTTTCCGCACAGAATATCAAATATGTATAAATACATAATATGTATGTATAAATATATATTATATTATTCATATTGTGCAACAGTTCCAGAATAATTAAAACCTATAGAAAGAAAGAATAATACACTCAACTAAAGTTTAACAATAGCAAACTTGAATGATTTGGCGATTGATTATTTATAACCGCACAGAATATGTATAAATACATAATATATCTGTATAATATATATATAAATATGTCTAATATATAATATATATATATATATTATATAAAATATATATATAACATTCCACCAAGACTCTTTGCTAAAAAACAAGTTTTCATAGCCTCAATGTCACAATTTAAACGGGCGTTAAAATGAATGTTAGATAATCGCGTCAAACTAAAGTATGCCGAGCCGCCGAGGACTCCACTTTATAAGTTATAACTATATAAGTACCAATACCGCTACACCTACCTTTTATTATAGCCTACAACTACAAGGTAGCTACTACATATCACTATCACACGACCAATACAACATCGACTAATTATTCAAATCGTCTTGCACTTAACTCTTCTTACCCATTAGATGGGTTATGTTCGATATGTGTTGAATTATTTTGATGTGGACATTGGACAATCTTCAGCCTGCTTAACTTTCGGCAAATGATTCCGACATAATCATGAGTTGTGCAGAGCAGGCTGCAATGGATTGAAATAACAAAAGACTTTGGAATGCCATCTAATATTATGGCTTTTTAAAATACATCAGAGTTCGTTTGTACCTATCAGTATCAATTCGTGAACTAAAAATTCCCGACCACCTGATTTAGAGCTGATTAGTAAGTAATTAAAACCAGATTAAAAATCAATTTATTTCAGACAAAGATTATCGGATATAAGGGACGCTGATATCAAGTTGGGTACAAAACTAGCCATCCTCGGCTCGGTGAGTTAGGGACTACTCTGATAATTTAGCTTAAATCTATTATCGTTGGCTCCCTAAATCGGTTACGATTAAATTTGGAATTGTGTTGATTTCAGATTCTACTGCTTTATCACGTAGTTACTAGTTATATTTAAAATTAAGTTTTTCGACCTGAACTTAATATGGTCAACTGTCAACATTTCTTCACATGGTCAACACCCAACACTACATTCCCCACAGTTAACTCAAGTTATTGGAGGATGTTACTCGATGGTTTTCCTAGTAACTCTGTTCATTGTATACTGGGTAATGTACGATGATATCATGGATACAGGCACTGTGTTTATGAGCCTTGGTCTCATCATGTCCCTCAAGAAGAACCTTATGTCTTTCAGTACTCAACTCACTGCTGTCGGAAAGGTTTGTGCGGTTTCACTTTCAGTTTCTAATTTAGTTTCAATTCTAGTTTATCATTGAAATTTGATGTATCGATCACATCAGAGCGAACATTTGCTCTTGATTGATATCGTTTACGATTTATAAAGTGATTAAAACAATATTAAATTAAATGATTTATCTCGTAGAAAATGTAATAGTTCCTATTTTATAAAAGAATTGAAAACTATTTCGGTCAGCCATATAGTGGTATAGTGGTGAACACTGGTGATATAGTGGTATGGACTATGGAGAAAACTGTTCAACAAAATACGAAACATTTTTCATCAGCTCAATGATCAATCTCGCAATGTAAAACTCTTCACTCTTCAGTTGGCAATAAACGCACCAAATTTCGGAAACGGCAACACTAAAATTGCGTCTTTCGTACCGTTTTTGTTGTTTTGTCAAAATATCCAAATTATCGCAAAAACTTTCGTTGTATTTCAAGCGCAACTTTTCCGCCTGTCAACCCTCACTTTGTTGACAAGATCTTTAAATCTCTTGGCAACAACTTTGGGATCTGTATTCTCCACCTCCTGCACGGACTCCAAACTGTTTGCCTCCTCTAAACTAAAACTGTGGTGAGCAAGATTCTTGTTTAACTGCTCCTCGTCCAACATAGCAGAGGAGCTCCTCCTTATCTTGTTCTTCTGTGGAGTGTTGTCAGTTCCTTTGATTTCTCCTTTGATTTCTCTGGCGAGGGAATATTCAATTTCCAGGTCCTTTTTCAGCTGTTCAGTGACTATAGCTGCGTCGTTGTAATCTACAGTTACATCTACTATCTCTTCAAAACACTCCTGTAAGCAGAGAGTTACATCACCGTATATGGTAGTATTGCAATATGAAATTTACTTTGTATGGTAGTATTGCAATGCGAAATTTACCGTATATGGTAGTATTGCAATGTGAAATTGACCTTATATGGTAAATTATTGCTTTATAGGATATCGGGGGATTACAATATTACCACGTTAATTAGTTAATATGTTATCATAAGCTAACCAGTAAGCGTAATCATGGCAAATATCAACATTACCATATGTGGTCATCATGGCAAGTTCACCTGGTTGTTAGCGAAGCTGTTTCCCGTCATTACCATACCCCTAAGCTCAGTGCACATATGCAGGTACTTCAACATGAAGAAGTAGCAAATTTCCTTGTCTTTAAGGAAAGATGACTGGGCTTTGACGAGTGTTTCCTTGGTATTGGTTATGTACTTTGTTAACGCTTCTTTTTGGTAAGGTTTACCTATTTTTAGGGCTGCTACCTTCTTTTCGATCTGCTGTGTCGACTTTTCGGAGTTTAACATCTTCTCTTCTTTCATTCCTAGTGTAAGTTGCATGGTGAAGGGGTTTTAAGAACTTTTTAAAGCAAGTTGATAAACACAAGTTACGTAATTTACGAATGCGGACAGGAACAAAATATCTTTAAAAAATGGCATTAACAATCAGAATTTTGTAGCATTGTCCGTCAACATCCACAAAATAACCCATGAAGCAAATGTTGGAGTTTCCTGCGATTGGAAAACAAGTATATTGTTATTGATAAACACAGAAACATGTTCTGCCTAATTTTGATTACATATACATATTACATATACAGTAACAAACAAATATATCATAAGAGAAACTACACATCTTCATCAAACAAAGATAAGAGAGCATGTACTATACATTTATTTGATGTTGCCATTTTGTAAGTCAGATCCAGAGTCTCTAATTTCAAAAGTCCTCCTCACATTATATGTCAGGCTGTCCAGTGTTCACAAGTTTACAGAACCTCACGGTTAGCGAAAGTAAAACGTTAAAATCTTAGACAGCTCGATGTGGTCATAGCTTGTTCTTCCAAGTATGAACCACAGCAGTATACCAGCACTTAATATCATTATTGTGTCTTACCTGTTCAACAGGAGTTTCAAAACTTGCTGTGTTGAGAGTAGGTTAGAGCTCGGACATATTTAGTTTACATAGCAGAACTCACTTATTTGGTGGCGTCGGAGCCAAATTTTGCAGCGGTGACTCGAGTAAGCACTCGTAACGATATCTGGATATCAGTGTATCACTTCCACATTTAAGCCGGAGTTGCTCCTAAATATGGGGCGGTGGTGGTGGCCACTTGTCCACCACGTCTGACTCCTCCTCGTCTTCACTGACCACCATCCCCACAATCTCCCCCCTCTGAGAGCTCCTCCCTTTCTCCCTCCTCTCCAGCACTCCTTTACTCTCCCTCGCTATCTCCTTCCCTCTCACGAACTCTGCGTCCAGTGTTTTCTTTATCTTCTCCGCGTTACGGTGTGCGTGGGCTGAGATCTCTGTAACCTCCAGGATGTCGTCAAGGTGCTCCTTTGTGTTGGCTAGTGTATTCCCTGTAAGGGGGGCATCAGTCAACCTGCCTTAATGCTCTTCAAATCACACCAAATAGCAGACCAACAACAGCTGTAATACTATAATTGTAGTACTATAATTGTAGTACTATAAATGTTGCAAAGAAGTTACAAATTTTGGGATTCATCCAGTCACCTCAAACACGGTTACCTATGTTGATAAAAGATAATGGTTACTAATCTACATTAAAGTTAATCCCCATGGTTACCTGAATAGATAAGAGTTCTGAGCTGACCACACATGTGTAGATATTTTACATAGTAGAAATACGCGACTTCCATATCCTTGTTAGAAGCAGTGAGAGCTTTGGAGTGCGAGTCCATCGTATCAGATATGTATCTACTCAGTAGATCCTGATCTGGGTTTTCTTCAAATATAATCGAAACTGCCCGCCTCTCAATCTCGATCGTCGAGCGAGCAAAGCTAAACATTATTCAGAACAAACAACATGCTGACTAAGATCGTGGTAGACAAGAAAGCTTACTTGGTGTCTCACAACTAAAACGATAATGTCCTTATATGGGCATCACGTGGCGTAAAGCTGTGTTGCCAGTCTTACTTTTAGACCGGTTAACCTTCAACAACAGTAGAGACTGTTTAATTTGCAGAGTCTTTAACCTTAAAGTACTAAGAGCAAAACTAGTATACACGTATTATGAGACATGTCACATACCGTTTACTTTCTCATTTCCTAAGTCAGGATCTTGACTAGCTAGCATATGCCAACCTTGGTAAATAGATCTAGATTACTTTCTGCAGAAAACATGCACGTTGAAGTTGAAATGATCAGCGAATGAAAAAACTAATCGTCGCGAATCATCAACACGTTTCAACAAAAAGGTTGATCCGAAAACTTTACTTACGACAAAAAATATTGAAATGTATCATAGATGCTTACATGCCAGGTTCTGATGTCAAAACCAGACTTAAATTACAAAATTAATCTACCTAATTAAACAAATCCATACTCGTTCAGTATAGAGTAGGATATCTACGGTAGCTTCTTACTGGCACTTCAAGTCAAGATGCTTTACAGAGATCCCATTAATACAGTATAGCAGTAATTAATCAATTAATTATAAAATTAATTAATTAATACAGAATGATGTCCACTGTAGGCCTCGATGACCTTTTTTACATCAGCAGTTCATTTCAATATTCACTTACAACTACATTCACTGGTATAGTTAATTCCCCAAAATATTTAGTTTCCATCAAATTTTTAACACTACTGTCTACTAATCACTGAAAATTGTATCTGCTTTTTTATATTTCTTAGATAGTTACAAAATAAAACAATTGATTCATCGTTATTCCTGTCTCTTTCATAATCATAGACACTGATCTACAGATATTTTGACATTTTGTACTGCTTCACGACTGCCTTTCTTGCTCATTGTATAATAAATTAATTTACAAATTATCTGCTTAAATTCTTAAAACGCCAAAAAAAAGATGAACAAATTTGGATTTTTGATGGTTTTGAATGCCTTCGAGCGTTAATTATGTTCATAATTATGTCCGTTCATTTAATGTCCGGTCAAATAAGGTCCGATAAGGTAATTATAATACAATATACTCTCGATCTACTCATCTACTTAGCTCTTCCTGCACTTTCACCTATTTTTTCTTTCAGTGCTACGTGAGCGTGAATCGTATAGTGGAATTCTTTAATCTGACGGAGATAGCTGGTCTACCCGGAAGTAACAAGAAGAATATGGAGTATTACACCAAGTTTAAAGATGATACTCTAGTCATTACCAACGCTTCGTTCCAGGTACGAAAATTTCACCTTCACTTTCATTTTTTCCTTTAAATTTCACTTCTATTTCGCCAACGAGGTTTAAGTACTTCGGTCTGATCTGGTCCTGAAATTAATTAAGATTATCGAATATCGATCAACAAAACGGCACCAAAATTAAAATATCAAAGGCATAGGTTTCAAGAATTTTTATAAACTGTATTAAATGTAATAGTAGCCTAACGTGCATACTGCATATTTGTTTTCAAATTCAACTTTAACCGACTTTTATATTCCATTTCACTTAGATTTCACTACTCCAATGTATTAAGCTCTCTTACCCCCAGTTCGCTAACACAGACACCCTTGTGCTGAGAAACATAAACTTGTCAATACCACGCGGAAAGCTCACTGTCATACTGGGCCCGTGTGCCTGTGGCAAGACTTCTCTCCTGCAAACCATGCTCGGTTAGTACTTTCACTTTCACTTTCACTTTTTGAGTGGTTATTTCTCTATAAACGGTTTAATTTTAATTTTCTGGTTTGTGATATCTGCAGTTCTGACTAATTGACCTACACAATTAAAATACCGAGCCCCGATCTCTGCTAAAACCTTGCACTAGTTCCTTGTGTTGAAGAGTATCACATTCAGTTTCACTCTGCAGGTGAGATGAAAAAAGTGGAAGGTAACGTTATCTGGTTGGACCCAGCTAACAGTGTAGGTCTCTCCGCCCAGGTTCCGTGGATATTCAACGCAACTCTCCGCAAGAATATTATCATGGACGCTCCTTTCGACGACCTCAGGTCAGAAAAACAAATTATTTAGTACTATTGAAGAAGTAATTGAGGAACAAAGAACGAGCGTTTATAAACGAGTGTTTATAAACGAGTGTTTATAAAAGCAAATAAATGCTTTCATAGTTCTAATGGTAATCTGGTACCATTGGTATCATATTTTTGACTCGCCAGTCAAATTTGGAAATGATTTTAAAATCAAATTGCGAGTGCACCTTAGTGAAGCTTTTCTCATAACTCATAATGTTCAGATATTCGAGGGTTGTCAAGGCTTGTCAACTAATAGAAGATATTGATATGTTCCCAGCGGGGGATATGTCTGAGTTAGGACCCAAAGGTAGGCTTTTAACTTTCATATATATAGTGAATTCTCAAAAAATTGGTTAAGGTTACAAGCTAGATTGAACATCGGTAATTAGAATTTAAATCAGTTGTTGGTCAAACTTATTGAAGAACTTTGCACAAACATATGATCCGGAAGAAGAATTTCAATAATTTGACAACTTAAACTAAAAGGTTTGTTTCAGGTACAACACTTTCGGGAGGCCAGAAACAGAGAACCTCCCTTGCACGTGTCGTGTACTCCAAAACTCAGACGGTCTTGTTAGACGACCCATTTTCGGCTCTGGATAACTCGGTCGCTAAGAAGGCGTTTAATGGAGCTATTAAGAATCTGTTGCTTGGAACCGGCAGAACTGTCGTTATGGTCACCTCATCTCAAGGTTTGTAGGGCCAGGGGTTTGAGTGCGAATGTTTTTTTTCTTTCAATGAAAGTTCGTTTTCTGGCAAAACATATGTGAACTATTATCCAGACCAGTGCATTGTTCACTCTTGTCTAAATACGTCTCAATTACTCCTTTAAGTTAAACCGAAAATTTCCTTGACTCTAAGTCTAACCGAACGTAGAACCTAACCCCTTGAATGAAATTAAAACAGTGAGGAGGATAATCCGTTTGTTTCCGGAGCTCCCTATGATTCTATAACTCTCTTCCGGTATTAAACCATGTATTATCGATTACCTAAGAGGTAATTTTGTGATGTTGACACTACCTTATAAGGACATGTTGCTACAATACAAGCAACATTACCATATAAGGTAACTATTCCCTCAGGTTATGCCAAGCTGGCGGACCATGTGGTGATTATGACTGATGGGGAGATAGAGGCTCAAGGTAAACCCATCACGTTAGAGGAGAAGGGGTACAAGTTTGAGAACGCGTTCGGCACTAATAGCACGACTGTAAAAGTGGGGAGAAGAGCTCAGAGAATGGGTAAGTGACGTTTTTGGCAGTTATTTTATCTCCTCCCTGAAAAGAATTGTAACGGATCGAATTTATGTGGATCGCTTTAACTTTAAAGAGGTCATTTGCTGCTTCATCATGAATAGGTATTCGGTGATTCACTTACTATAATACTGTTTCTGATAGGAGAAGGGAAAACAGATGAAAGTTCTGAGAACACGGAAACATCCGGAGGTCGTGGAGGGAGAGGAGGAGGAGGACGAGGGGGAGGTGGTGGACGAGGTGGGCGTGGGGGTGGAAGAGGCGGAAAATCAGGCGGGGATGATAGTTCTGAGAAGAAGCCAACAGGTCCTCTTACTAACGTGACGATCACGTACAGTGTTGATCCTTACAACGGCAGAAAGCTTGCAGAGGCCTCCAATGGAACGGATTTGCAGACAAACGAGGCCGGGACACCTATTGATAAGAAGGGAGTTCCACTAATGCTGAATGAAGATGGGACTTGGAGCCAGCAGTCAGACGGTGATAACGCATTGACAAATTTTCAGATTCCAAACCTCCATTAAAAATTCGTTTTGTTTATTCCAATTCCATTGTACAAATATGACATAGATCTTCAAAACAGATAGAGTTCAATTCAATGTTAACCACAATTCTTATCCCAGCTAGGAAGATAGAGATTGGTAAAAACGAGCAAGGAGTGAAAGTGGGGGTCTTAATGGGAAAGAAGGGCCGTAAAGAGATTCCTCTCAATGAGCACGATACCCCATTAGATAAAATCGGGGTCCCGATGGTACTGTTAGAGGGTTGCACTGATATCTGGGTCTCTACTACCTCCAAGGAGAAACGTTAGTACATTTACTTTGATGCTCCTTATATCCGGTCCGTTAGCTCATTCTTTTTTATCAAGACACTTATTTTACTCCGGAGTATTCCAACAGCCACATCGTTACACAAGTGCAACCAGCCAATTACAGGAAGCCGAAGGATTTGTTTTTAGCCAGTGACAGTTAAGGTAGTGTGTACCATACTTTCTTCGCCCGAGACTTTGCTGCAATGTGCAGCTCCTCATTTAACCCTCACACCCGATTTGTCGAGTATTCGGCTGAGTAGACCGGGGTGCTGCATAGACCACTCATGATCCTTAGCTGAACGTCAACGACGCTCACCCCACGACCAGGCAGACAGTGGGATTTGAACCCGCAACCTCACAATTGCAAAGCTGGCGTTCTAACCAACTGCGCTACCTGGCCGTAGCGCAGTCTATTTGACTATCTGCTCTTTCCTTGCCTATAGTTTTATGCCCAGTGTTTGCTTATGTGCATGCATTTTTTATTGTTGCACTGAATATTGAACAACCTATGAGTTATAAAGTTATACTTATAATTAAAGCCATGACGTGGTCTTTCGCAGAGCAACTCTTTCGGTTTTAAGCTGATTTACCTTTCAGGCCTGGAGTTGCTGGTGCAGCAAGGGAAGATTTCGGAGGATACGAAAGCTAAAAAAACACGTGGAGGCGGTGGTGGCCGAGGAGGTGGTGGTGGCCGAGGAGGTGGTGGTGGCCGGGGTGGGGGTCGTGGTGGTAAATCTGAAAAAGTAGAGTAAGTTCTTTGACAGTATTTATTACTATCACTTTCGAATTATGATTTGCTAATTGCAATACTAAGTGCAAACTTTAGTTTTGTGTTGTTCAAAGTGAACTTTTTCAGGTCGAATTCGGGAAAAGATGAAGCAGAGGAAAAAAAGAGCAGTGGAAAAGACGGAAAAAAAGGGGGCAGGGGAGGAAGAGGCGGAGGAGGAAGAGGAGGAGGCAGAAAAAGATTTGCTAAGGATGAAAACGGAAGTAAGTACAGTAAAATCCGTGCTTTCTTTCAACAGATATTTATTTTTGTTAACTCCCTTAACATTGCGAACCTAATACAAATAAATTATAGGACACCTTCTGAAACTATCGAGAATTCAAATACCTTTCTTTTTACAATCACAGTCCTTCGTTGCATCATTGAGATTGCGATATAACAATTTAAATATATGATTATCTCCTTGTTCGGTAGACTGGGTAATAAAGACAGGAAAGGAGGAGGACGGGAAGCTGATCCGAGAAGAGAAGGTAATGATAGGTCACGTCAACAGAACAGTATACGCCAGATTCATCAAGGACTTTAAGATCAGTCTTATTCTCCTGGCCCTTTCCCTCATGATCATCAACATGTGCATACAGGTATGATTTGCTTAACATTAGTATTATATCTCTGCTGGTTTATTGGAATGCGATTAGAGATTAAGAATATTTAAAATTTACAGTCAGGTTGTCAACATACCAAGCTTTAAGATACAAGTGATACATTCCCCTCAGATATAATTATAACAATCTTCCACAGACAACATCAGTGATATGGCTAACTATGTGGACCAGTACAAACAGAGTGGGTTACCTTGACAACAGCACCATGAACCAGACCCAGTTAGAGAACCACCATATCCAGAACATCTTCCCCGACTCTAACTCTAGCGATCTCTACAATCAGAGCGCACTTTATCAGCATGTTTATAATAAGAGTAACCACGACAGAGTGTACAGCAAGGGTAGGGTCTTTATAAACTATGTGTTTATCAGCTGTATTTATAAACATGGCACATACGTTTCAGGAATAGTTAAGAACAAAAACCTCTTTTTTTTAAGTTAAAAAATATTTTCTTGTGTTTGAAATTGTGTATTTAACAGCACTGGACGGGGTATTAGAACTACATCGCAACGCGTCGCGTAGCAACGAGTCAACACTATTAGAGCCCATCGTAAAAGAGGACCAAGTCACAGGATACGACGCTACTTATGTGAGTAGATAACCTTTTAAACCATATAGCCAATAGCCATATATGGTAATGTTGCCATGACAACAATACCTTATATATAACATTATCTGAGGCCTTCATATCGGTCCAGAAGGGTAACACAAAAACAAGTTTCGAATAAGAAGTTTGGTTTGTTTAATCTGAGAGCTCCTAACCACGGTTATGTTTCCAGGTGTTCTTTACGAGCAGACCTACACAATTCTACATTCTCTGCTATGTGACAATCGTACTTACAGCTATATTCACCAACGTTTTAAACAGGTCAGGGTTGTTTAGTAAGAGGATTATTTTGAACTGTCCCAGTGTTTCACTCTGTTTCACTGTGTTTCACTGTGTTTCACTGTGTTTCGCTGTGTTATGGATATATCATATAAGGCTGGGTTGAATTTCACACTGCACTGAGTTAGCAAACACATATACAGGGTGTTTCATAAATAGTGTCCTGTTTTTGATTTATTGCATGATCAAAAACATTTGCTACCAATTAATATGCCAAATATGTAATAAGTCCTACATTGGGGAAACTGGTAGGTTTAAAAGAAGTAGAGCCTGGGAACACTACAAATCAGTAAGGGATGGCAACAAATCTACGGCCATGCAGCACTACCTAGAGGAGCATGCAGACATTTCAATGCCAAACATACCGTTTCGGTTTATAGTTCGAAAAAGATGTAAAGACTATGTGGACCGTCAATTGTGGCAGTCGGTTCTAATAAAACGTGAAAACCCAGAAATAAATACTCAATTGTCTGAGTCCGTAAATGAAGGTGATTGGATAAAATATACTTGGAAGTTAATGTAATATTGAACTTATAAACATAGATAATTTTTGATTAATCAGTTTTATGAAGGAGCTATCTTGGTAAAATGTTAGTACTATGAGGAATTGTTCACGGTTTGTTGCGGTGTGGATTCTTTTAGCCATTATATTTTATGTTTCTTTTGGATAAATTTGTGATTGTTGTTGTGTTTCAAGATGTTATTTTTTTGTTGTTGTTATATTTCGTAGTATTAATAGATTATTTTAACATTGTATCTTTGCAGCTATGTAAGTTTTCAGTACGTCCTGTTTATGACAAAGGCATGTAGCCGAAACGTCGACAAAGAATTATGTTTTAACACACTGAGTGGAGACTCTCATTTCGTCAACTACAATTAAAAATATTGTCAAATTTAGTACAAATGAAATAACTTTTCAAATTTTGGTTTTAAGTGTAACAAATATATCAAAAAATCATAAAACACAATACAATTTGATTCAATAATTTATTATCTGCTCGAACCATCGTCCTTTATTGGAGAGCACATGTTGATATCGGGTGAGGCAGTTGTCTACTGCAGACTGCACTGTGCTCAACTGTATTCTCCTTGCCTCTCTCCTGATATTCTGCTTAAGTTCTGCGGTTGTTTTAGGGACTGGATTGCTATAGACTTTACTCTTGAGATATCCCCAGAGGTAGAAGTCGAAGGGGTTGAGGTCGGGGGAGTATGGGGGCCAGGCAAAGTCTGCATTTCGGGAGATGATCCTCTCCTTGAACTGCTTCTCCAACCACGCAATACTCTCTTTGCTGCAGTGGGGAGGAGCCCCATCTTGCATGAACCAGCACCTATCAAGCACATGCTTTCTCTTAAGAGCTGGCACAAACTTCTTCTTTAACATCTCGATGTAATTGTTCTGATAGTGTCTGTTTTTCCGGTCTCACCATCCTCAAAGAAGAAGGGACCAAAAATACCATGATACCCGATACCCATCCAAGCTGTGACTTTCTCTCTAGTGATAGGCGACTCAACTGTTGCATGCGGGTTCTCATCTGCCCAAAACCTACAATTTTGGCGATTGACATGACCGCTCAGATGAAAATGAGCCTCATCTGAAAAAATTATCTGTTTCAAGAATTCTGAGTCAGATTCGATGCGATCAGCCATTATGTTGCCAAATTCGGTCCTTTGTTCTCTATTTTTTGGAGTTTGTGCCTGTTTGATTTGAATTTTGTAGGCAAACTTCTTCAGCTCTTTCCTCAAAATTCTCCAAACTGAAGTTGTCGATAACTTAAGCTCCCTACCAAGTGTTCTGGTTGACCTCCTTGGACTGTTCTCCAATTTTCTTTGCACCCTTTTGATATTCTTCTCAGAAAGAGCAGATTTCGGCCTACCCGTACGCGTGTTCTTAATCAGGGTACAATCAGTTTCTAGCTTCTTTACAAGACGTCGTATTGTCCTATCATCAAGTTTGCTGAATTTAGACTTGTTCTTCTTCTGTAGCAGACGCCTAGCACTTGTCACACTGCCTCCACAAATCCAATAAGTCTTCACAATATCGAGTTTTGTTTCTTTTGTGAACCCCATTTTTCTCAAAATTCGACTTTTTGGAACAGAGCCAAAAAAACTAACAAAGTTGAATCGCTGGAACAAATGAGCTTAACAGATTAAATTTGTAAGCTTTATGAACTAATGGCAACCAATAATGGGAATTTTGCTCCTTTATAAACAATTTTATTGTTTTTTTAAATCAGGACATATTTTTTGTATATTTTACAACAATCCTCTCCGACTCCACTACCACGGAGCATGTCTGAGAGTGGTAACAAACAGAACCATTCCCTGAAACATTTGGCCACAGTTTTATCCAGCTCCTTAATAAAATTTCCTCTTTCAGGATTTACGTGAAGTTGATGTGTTTCAAGTTATCAAAGCGCATGTTCATGAGAATGTTGGATACACAGTTCGCAGCAACATCGCGCTACTACGACGAGACACTAGTCGGCAGAATTATCAACAGGTAAATTTATTCATTGATTAATCAATTAACTTATTAATTGGTTTATCGACCTTTTATTAATGTCTCGCACTTATACTAGTATATTTAATGTCATATTATCTCTTATTTTCATTTCAAATAAACTATGATCCTCTCAAAATGACTCTGGACATATTAAAATAATATGTGATATAATATTTATATATAATGAGTTGTCCTGTTTTCTAGGTTCACAATGGATATGAACAATGCTGAGCAGTCTGGAATAAGAAGCATTCTTGCGCTAATTATGGGTAAGCCAGTGTTTGATATACTGTCAGGGAACTGAGGATGGTTGAGGGCATGGGTATTTTCCAGATATTTATTGAACAAATTTTTAAAGATTTTATTAGTTTATTAAATTAATAAACTGATAACATCTTTAAAACATTTTTAAAATTATTAATGAAGAAATCCGTATTCTGATGCTGGTGATATTTGGCTGATGTTTCCGCGAATTTCAGGTATTCTTGGTAACATGAAGTTTATTGTAATGCAGTTGTTTGTCTCCTGGTATGTCATCCTCTTCTACATTCCTGCATTCTTCGTCATCTTCCAGCTCCAGAACTTACAGGTTATTTAGTTATTCTTAGAACATACTGATTATTCTTTTACACACAATTTGTTACTTTACATTGTAAGGCCACTGATCTCCGGGAGGAATAGATACTGCGCCAACTGTAACGATACCATTTTGCATCCGAATGATAATTAACGGCTTAACAATTATCAAGTGTAAGGGAATATGATGCAATGTTTGTTCCTAAAGTCCTAATAAAACCTGTTCCTTTTCAGCTGCAAACTTCAAGACAGAACAGACGTTTGACTGCAGTATTAAGGACACCAGTTATTGAGTCTATTACTAACATCATGGAATCAGTCACTTCTATTCGGTGAGTTTGTAATTTAACTATTATAATCTGAACTTAATCTAACTTAATCTAACTTATACATCTGAAGATTTTGTCCTCTACATTGTAAAAAAAGAAACTTTTTTTTCCCAATTTAAATCTGAAACAATTTAACATGAATACTATGAGTATGTTTGTACTGTCAAATGTCACTGAATTAGAATATAAATTATTTAAAGGTTCAAACTGTACTCCTCCTCTGACAATTGTAAATTTCAGAGCGTACGGAGTAGAGAAATACAAGCTAAAAGAATTTAATGATCATCTGAAAAAGAACGCCTGTTCCAGACTTTGGGGGATATATTTTGGTTCATGGACGGGACTCTACATTTGTTTCATTAGTGTCATCTTCGTAGGTATGTCTTTCAAACTATTTTAGTACTCGGAAATTGCCATTCAGATAGCATATGACAACTTTTTATTGACTTAAACTATGGCTGATGGCCGACAAACTAAGCCGGGAAATCAAACAAAGAATTTAAAAGCTAAATAAAAATGGTATATTTTCACTGGTGATTCTCCCAGGTTTTGCCTCTTTGATGAGTATCGCTGCGTGTTTGTCTGGATATGTACACCCTGCCCTCATGGGAATAGCCCTTCTCTATACTTTCCAGGTCTGCCTTTCTTATAACTTGTTAGATAACACAGCTGTAAACAAACATTCCATTAATTACGTTTTCCTCTTATTACCAGCTGCTTTAAAATGAAAGTGAAAGCGGAGGAATGCTTTATGCTAACATTAGAATCCTCTTCAGGTGACAAGACAAGTATCAGGACTTACTAAAAAGTACGCTTCGATGGAGCAAAACTTTAGCGCAGTTGAGAGGTATAAATTCTGAGATAAAAGCGGTAATTAAATTACAGCTTTTATTTGTGACCTTTCTTGTCTACCTGATAGTACATATCAGTGATAGTATGTACATCTACAACAACGGTCATCGTTTGAATTAATAATTTAATTGTACGGTTGGATCGAAAGAGTTATTCAAAGTGCCATATATTGATATACAGGGTGTTTCATAAATAATGTTCTGATTTTTTTAAACAATTAAATTATGTATGTTCCTACACCTCATACAATTGAATTCCCAACTTATAGTTATATTGGTAGGATCATAGACGGCACTTTTTAATACAGTCTATCTTTCGACCGTTCAGTTGATCGAACGATGATATTACATATTGATATTGTAATGGATTAAGGCCTAAGCATAAGAGCATAAGGGACCAATCATATATTACGTAAGCCAGATTTTTGACCTTTTCATACCCCCCCCCCCCCCCTCCCTTCTTCCTTTACTATTGTGTATAAATTAGCCTAATAGCGTTTCCAACCCCTCCAGGTTATACCAGCTAGAGGATGAAACCCCTCCTGAGTACGATTGTCCTACATCAATTCCTCGACCAAACTGGCCACAGTACGGCTTCATCAAAATCAAGGTGAGTACATCAGTACAACCGTTCGCGTCAGAGCTAGAACTTTGAATCTACTTCTAGCACATAAATAGGCTGGGTTGAAGTCCAGATTCAAGAGATTGACATTAAACATCCCCAGAACCTGAAATGTCGCTACGACGAGGCCCTGGGTGACGTGCTGCAGGATTTAACGTTCGACATCTGTGCGGGCCACAAGATCGGGGTCTGTGGCAGAACCGGATCCGGGAAAAGCTCGTTCGGGCTCGCTATGTTGAGGTAATGTTCTGAGCCGTTTTTGATATTTTAGATCTACATTTGTAAACACCCTCAGTTATCGCTGTCCATTTAAATCCGAATAACAACACAGCAATCCTTTTTCTCCTACAGAATGCTCCCAATCCGTGAGGGAACCATTACGATAGACGGCATCAATATCAATGAAGTTTCACTAGGGAAACTGAGAGACTCCATTACTATCATACCTCAAGAACCCATACTTTTTGAAGGAACGATCCGACAAAATCTTGATATATCAGGTAAAACGAGGAAGTGTAAATTTCAAAATCCACCATTACTGTGCCCAACATTTAAACAGACATTGGACAAATGCACGTGTTATCATCCAGGCTCGCAACATGACCAGTTAATGGCCAGTTAATGACCACTTAATGACCACACCAGGCAAAAAGACAGATGAGCAACTCTGGACCGCTCTGGAGATCGCTCTTGTCAAGGATGCTGTCTCGGACATGCCGGACGGACTTGACACTAAAATAGTGGACGAGGGTATGTCGTTATTTATAAAAGTTCATTTTATTGTTGCAAAATGAGACTTTTATCTGCCATTGATTGTGTTCCTGCTCAGTCTTGTTAATTTATTCTGTACCTCAGGAGATAATATCAGCAAAGGACAAAGACAGTTGATCTGTTTTGCCCGAGCTTTCCTTCGAAATACCCGGATCTTCATTCTAGATGAGGCAACTGCTGCTTTAGATGCAGATACAGATCAGAGAATACAAAGGGTAATCTTTTCGCTTTACTTTAAACTTTCAGATATTTTCAGCATTCATTATTAATCACCATGAAAGGTAATATTAACGTGATAGTATTAGTATTGCCATGACATTCTAGTCCTACCATAAAATTAAAAGGAAATGTTTCCTCCAGGTAATATCAGACCGGTTCAAGCAGTGCACAGTGATCACAGTAGCCCACAGAGTAAACACCATCGTGGACAGTGATATGATCCTCGGACTGGAAAACGGCAAAATTGTAGAGTATGACACCCCGCAAAACCTTTTGTCCTCCAACAAGTCAATGTTTAGGAGATTAGTTAATAAGAGTTTGTCGTGAAGTGATACATCATTATTTCACTATACTGATAACGTTGCTATGAGAACTGAGATGGACAAATACCGTGATTTAGAATGTGAACGTTTATATGTTGACCGTGACCGGATCCAAACAGAATCAGTCATGTAATCACAAATGAATCGAGCACAGTTTTTATCTATCTATATACTAGGACTGATCAGCAAATATTTGTGGTTTTACTTTCTGGAATTTACTGAGAGAAAGATTGTTTTAAATAGTTAAATTATTTTACTTCAGTTCAGATAACTAGCTGACTAGCTTTACTGTTGAGAAAGATGACGTGGTCATGGGATATCTTGACCCTCTTTGATAATGACCCCTAATTATGAAAATTACCCTAATTACGGATAGGAAACACGATATTTTCTATGCTAGCGTAGGATTATGACCATCGCCATTCAAGAGTAATTCTAATCTATATTCAGTCGAAGGGACTAATATCTATGTTTGGTCACATTTTGATCAATAAAAATCATTGAAGATATTCAATGAGTTTATATGCTGAAATTTTAAAGACTTTTGTACATAGTGTACATGTTACGATTATGTTAATTTGTATCAGAAATCAGAATTTGGATAGATTATTTATTTTTAACTTCTACTAGAATACACTTGTGATGCATTGATAAAATTATTGTTAACAATTTGATGAACGCGTATTGGGTCAATACAAGTTCTACTGTAGGCTTCAAAAGAAAACAAGGCGTATTTAATGAAAGTGCATCTGGCATATATAAAATAATAAATAAACAAATTCATGATAAAATACATCATATAAGAGAATCAACTAAACAACCTAGTTTACAAACACGCTCTGGCACGATTCTAGTTAAGGGGTCGTTCACATATTACGTAATCAGCTGAGGGGGGTTCCGAATGATTACGCTAGTGTAATTTTGATTTTTGACACAATAGCTATGTGTAAAACTGATTACGGAGGGGGGGGGGGGGGTAAAAATGATCCAAAAAATGATAACGTAATATGTGAACGACCCCTAACTGTACGGTAACTAAATCTATATATATAACTAAAAATGATCGTTTCTACAAAGTATTCAAATTTAAGTTAACCGCAGCCAGTCAAGAGTCGTGGAAAAATATATAAAAATTCTTAGAATGCTTGAGCATGGAGTTTGATTAATAAAGATAAAAAGTTAAAAACTGTCAATTTTAGGTTCAAATTAAAAAGCTTGATAATTAATATCAAAAACCATTTTTAGCGAAACAAATTTCTATGATAGATCTATGTGATATTCTACAATGAATAATGACTCTGCTCAATCCTATACCAAAAATTATTTGTCACCTATTCCTTCTTTCACACCATGACCTGTCATTTTAAGATTATTGTCTTCATTTCCCTTGTTGCATATTGGCCTGGCAGTAGTGTTCACAGCTCCAACTTCTTCATCATTATCAACTTCATCAGGACGTCAACACAGCGGGCTCTTCTGCAGCTATACCCCGGGATAGGAATCATATCTCACTTAGATATAACACAAGATAACCTCATCTGTTTCCTTCATCTGTTGCTCTCTGCGCTAAAATCATGGATCTGAAATGTTTTACACGCTGATCTCTAGTTTCCAGCTCTATCTTCAGCGCTTGTCTCCGTCTCAGAGAGGACTCGAGCGATGTGATGTGGATATTGTTTTCGTTTATGTCCTGATGAAATATATTCTGTTATGAATGAGACAGAAAGCGTTTTGTATTTTTAAATAAATTATACATTTTTATATAAATTATACTAACGGGATTGCTGTCAACTGCCGAGCCATATGAACGGTATGACTAATTTTTCGAGTCATCAGCTCAAGGGATGGGAGAGAAATACGATCCAAATGTATTATGTATAAAATGTTTCATCATCATGTTAATAATAACCTTATCATTATCTTTGGATACATCCTCCAACTTTGCCACCTTGGCAACGATCAGGTTGTTGTTGTGTCGCAATCTTTCAATTGGCCCCAATAATCTGTAGTCGTACTCCGGACGGGGTGTCCAAGTTGACTCGTACAAGTCTTCTTGCTGAAACGATCCGTGTTTAGTTGCTTTTCGATAGATCAAATACATGCGAGCAATAATAGGACACATTTAATTTTGATCTCAGAACAGGAGCGTTGAAACTGAACAAATGTCTTACCACAGCGAAATCAGAGGTTTCAACTCGGACAGGTGGTCGGTCTTCTGAGCTAGACACCTCTCCGAAAGCACCTGAAAAATTACGATTCATACGTAGAGGAACACAGGGCCGAAATTTAGTTCTGAATATAATAAATAATCACTCACTTTTCAGAGGTGATCTGACCACGGTTTGACCGATCACAATATGTAGTTGAGGTAGATGGCTGGGAACCAATAATATTCAGTCTGTTGATCATAAACTAACCTGAAATATTTGGTCTGATAGACGCTCCAGGATCCACTAAACCGCAGACTTGTAACTGTTCCACTAGGCGTGTCTTCTCGGCAGACTGAAATATAATCCATGTTCAGTGATTGAATAGTGGAAACACCTATTTGAAACCGGAGCAGTGATATCATAAAAGACGCGGCAAAACTGACAGTCAACCATGAGGTTCTGGTATAATTTCAGGCGCGCGATTAATATAATGAGAAATTCTAACGTGCGCGCGAAAATGTGGAGGCTTTAATCAGTAAAGTACTTTCGCGCGTGACGTCTTTGTCGTTATATTCGTTATACTGTCAGTTTGGGAACTGTTAACATGTGGCTTCCTTCGGCTATAACATGTGGAAAATACACTCTCGTTATGAGTAAATATGCATTGCATACAAGAACCATACTTTTATTTTAATGAAGCACATGGGACTGAACTAAGAGCTAAGCATTAAGCAAAGCTTATGTCATGGAGTTTTAATCAAGCTTTTCATCTAGAAGTAAAACTAATTCGTTATACTATGGAGCCAGGATGAGATTTGTATTCTGAGTGGGCCGGTAGTACACAAGTTGATACCCAATAATAAATATAATAAATTAATTTTTAGCAAAGTTTTATTAAACTCACAGTGAGGGAGTGCGTAAGTTGAGAGAGAATCCTCCTCCTAGAAACTAGCTCAGTATTAGAGTGTCCTGGTTGAGGGTGTCCTGGTTGGGAGTGTCCTGGTTGGGAGTGTCCTGGTTGGGACAATGTTGCTAGGTACACCTCTCCTGCTATGCATCTTAAGACAGAGGTTATGCCGTGTGTACGTAACTCAGATACATCTGAAATACGTTCATTTTAGGGAGGCTTTTTTACCCGTTTCAACTCTGAGGTCAGTGAATTTTCATGGAATTGTCTGTAGTTCCAAGAGAACTATTATTATATCCCTTAATATACTGTAAACATCAGTATTGTATAGCGATAATAAAATGCCTATGAGTTCAGAAACTTAGTCGCGATAGTTTCAGTTTAGGTTGTTAGTCAGTGTTTTGTTAAGCACTTGTTGATAGTAATAAGTAAACCTAGTACGCAACTCACAACTAGGGCTTATAATTAGGGGGGGGATATATAATTACAATAATGAGATTGTTTGCAAGGTGGGATTAGGACAATTGGTAATCGCACTATATAGTGACAGGACTATATAGTGACAAGCTGATATTTGTCATTATATAGCGTGCAAAACGCACTTTATAGCGACAGGACTATATAGTGACAAGTTTATCTTAAGTGAGTCAGGTATCGGTGATACCTGACACTATATATAGTGCGGGAATCGGACAATATTGCAAATCTTACATAAAAGTATGCTAAGAATGTAGCACTCGGTAGAGTTGACCATAAATCAAATTTCAACTTGATAAGCTTGTCCTTTGCAATCAAACCACGCAGAAGATATATAATTACAATAGAGCTTATAACAAAGCTATAACAAAGCTTATAACAAAGCAAATTATAAATAGCTCCCAAAATACAAACAGCTCCCAAAATGTAACATTTACCTGGCCACAGTTTGTTATCGCCCGTCAAGCTGCAAAGATGAGCTAGATACTGGTTTATACAATCCACTGAAATGTAAAACTTTATTTCCAAAACATACGTTCATATGTAAAACCCTTGTGACATTAAACGTATAGCCGGAGTATCAATAGGAGTGAAATATAATAACATAATGTAAAATGATATTATAATATAATAATACTAATAAGAAGTATTGAAACTAACATTTTCCCATGGGTTGGGATCGGTTGAACTTGTCCTGTAGGAGTTGCTCTATAGCAAGTATTGACACAAGACTCTTTAGTTCGTGAGCTGTAGAACGGAGATCGTAAAGGAATCTGGTGTTCATGTTAGAGTACGAAGAGGTTACCATATTCATTACCTGAGAGAAAAAATAGTGAAACAGCTGGCAGAAAGTAGATAGTCGTAACAGAGTCCTATTATTACACGATTGCACGTCTTCTTTTAAGCTAAATTTAGTAATTCCTAAAATTAAACATAATTCTCCGATGGAAATAAGACTAGAAGATTCCTAATACAGATGCGCAAGTTAACCTTATACACAGAAAGTGAAGCTCAGTAACTTTCATTACTTTGGCATACAAAATTACCTGGGAATTTTCTTCAGGCGCCATTTCTAGTAACCTCAAATTTATAGTTTTACATATCCGGCTTGGGGTGTATGTACACGTTTGCCTGTTATTAAAAACGAGATTTGAAAGAGCTTTTTAAAATAAAACAAATAGTTTTGTTAATTATTTAGATTTAAGTATCAGTCCACTATCGTAGACACATTTTTATCATTTTAATTAATGCAGATCTGAGGTTTGGTGATCTAAGCAACATCTTCGTAATCACTGATTGATAAGTGGGAAAGAGGAAGTGAAAGAGAAAGTGAAACTAACATTTCCTTCTGAAGGGAGAGCCGGTGGAGTAAGAGAAGCGTGAAGATATCAAGTTTACTATTCAACGCCCGATCAATCTCTGCCTCGCACAGCAACTTCGTCTTTATAGAGGCAGACAACATTCGTATCTGATAAATTAAATGTTTATGATTAATTTCACTACAAAAACATATCTAGGTATTAACATAACTACAATGTAACATCATAGAGTTATTGTGTTACATACTAGTTACAGCTTACATTGCAACTCAGCAGTCAGTTACAAATGGTAGATTACTACTGAATAGTTATATTTCATACTCCAACTACCGAGTGATAAACCAAGTTACAACTTTACAAATATTAAAAACTGTCCAATCGGAGAGCTGTTTCCAAGTCACGTTACTCAATCTAACCGATCAAACAGCGGTGTTCTATTCACAATTACCTGTAAGTATTGGAGCATAACAACAAAACCACAAAATCCTCTTAACCCAAAGTTCTCCATCCGCAAGGTTAGTAGCCACATGGAATTGAGACAATCTTGAAAAGATCTGTCTTCAAACTTTTCTTTGATTTGATGCATCTGTAATAAGTTAACTGGTTAATTTGCAGAATTATTTGTTGGTGAATATATTGATATTAACGGTATTATTGATGAATATATATTTATTATTTATTGATAAATTCAACTATCTAATTAATCAGTTATGTAATTGATTGTTTAATTGTGATATTATGATCGGTTGATTGTTTGATTAACCTATAGTAAGACCCACTATACCCTATCATTTGTCGTGCGCGGTATATTTAAATATAAAAATGCTTTGATAGTATAATCCTCCTCATCGCAGCAATCTTGGCAAAATTATTTCAAACTTAAAATTAAATACCTTAGTACTTTAGTACAGTAACAACTTACAGAGGTAAAAACTAAGCAATTGTCCAGCTGAAAATTTAAATTCATTCATACACGGATCAGTAAAACTAATCAAACGAAAAGGCTACCCGGAGATACAACAACTTATTTCTTATAATAAATGGCAACTCAATTTTCGTCGTTAATATCAGCAATCCTTTTAATTGACCGGATCTTGATAATATGTAATTTGTGTCACATTTAAAATTAGCTGTTGTATCCCCAAAAGCACAATTAGTTTGAAAAAATTTAATTTGTAAGGATTTGAAACTGGATCAAAGCCGAATATCTGATCTGTTTGAAGGCATGTCAAAACAAATGGGCCAGTTGGTAGATCACCGACCGGCTATAAGCCGGCTACTAACCGGCTATAAGCCGGCTTATAGCCGGTTAGTAGCCGCTTACATTTGTTGTTGAGCGACGGCTATTAGCCGGTTATAAGCCTGTTATTAGCCATTTTGGTATTAAAAGTGGTTATAATCCGGCTATAAGCCGGTTATAAGATATTAACTCAACTACATCGTACTGAACGATAGTCAGGAGCCGGCTATAAGAAATTCAGTGAAAACGGCTACTAGCCGGTTATAAGCCGGCTATTAGCCGTTTAGGTATCGAAAGTGGTTATAAGCCGGCTATAAGCCGGTTATAAGATATTAACTCAGTTCAGTACGATGAAGTTAAGTTAATATCTTATAGCCGGCTTATAGCCGGCTTATAACCACTTTCGATACCTAAACGGCTAATAGCCGGCTTATAACCGGCTAATAGCCGTTTTCGCTGAATTTCTTATAGCCGGCTCCTGACTATCGTTCAGTACGATGAAGTTGAGTTAATATCTTATAACCGGCTTATAGCCGGCTTATAGCCGGCTTATAACCACTTTCGATACCTAAACGGCTAATAGCCGGCTTATAACCGGCTAATAGCCGTTTTCACTGAATTTCTTATAGCCGATACCTAAACGGCTAATAGCCGGCTTATAACCGGCTAATAGCCGTCGCTCAACAACAAATGTAAGCGGCTACTAACCGGCTATAAGCCGGCTTATAGCCGGCTATAAAAATTGTAGCCGGCTATAAGCCGGTTTATAGCCGGCTTATAACCGGCTTATAGCCGGTCGGTGATCTACCAATTTCCCAACAAATGTAAGTAAGAAATAATAAACACAATTAAAAGTAAGAAACTACTCACCATGACAGTAAAGGGTGATGGACTCTTACTAATCGACATTAAACAGTCTTCAGTCCACCTCTGTAGGTCAAACTCGAGAATAGTTTCTCCCTCGAATATAGATTTGGGGGAAGGTTCTCGCTTCATCTCCTCCGTTACCTTGGGAAACATCTGACTCTCACATTGGGATGCGGTAGAGCGCGTAGTTGCAAGAGCTGGTCCAGTGGTAGGAGCTGGTCCGGTGGTAGGAGCTGGTCCGGTGGTAGGAGCTGGTCCGGTGGTAGGAGCTGGTCCGGTGGTAGGAGCTGGTCCGGTGGTAGGAGCTGGTCCGGTGGTAGGAGCTGGTCCGGTGGTAGGAGCTGGTCCGGTGGTAGGAGCTGGTCCGGTGGTAGGAGCAGGTCCGGTGGTAGGAGCTGGTCCGGTGGTAGGAGCTGGTCCGGTGGTAGGAGCTGGTCCAGTGGTAGGAGCTGGTCCGGTGGTAGAAGCTGGTCCGGTGGTAGGAGCTGGTCCGGTGGTAGGAGCTGGTCCGGTGGTAGGAGCTGGTCCGGTGGTAGGAGCTGGTCCGGTGGCAGGAGCTGGTCCGATGGCAGGAGCTGGTCCGGTGGTAGGAGCTGGTCCGGTGGCAGGGGCGAATGTAGGGACAGGAATTGTTCCATAAGTCTGAAGGGGGTCTTCTTCTGCGGTGGCTGAAGATGACATTTTCGTTAGTATACGTATCTAAATATAAGTAGGCCACATTCCAAGTCCAACTGGATAGTGGATATATACATCTTTCAATTCCCATGAGAGTTATGATAACTGCATGATCATATCTTCTGAACGCCGCATATTCTATAATACAGTGTAGTCTACTTAACGTCAGAATTTAGAATTCAGAAACTTTGAATTTATCAGAATGAAAGTTGAAATGGCGGAAATACAGCGCAGTTTGAAAAAAATCGTTTTATGCTCGGGGTTGGATTGGAATTATTTGGAATGTGAATTGTATAAAGTAGTGGAATGTAAATTTCATTGTGATGTATTGTATTTATTATAATGATTCATATTTATAGGTATGTCACTTAATACCAGATTACAGAAAAGTGGAGTTTCATTCACGTTAATTTAAGTGACATACCTCAATAAATGTATTTAATTGTAGTTGTGAAAATAGTTTAAAACTAGAATAGTTGTTAAGTTCCCGCTAAAAAATAGTTGTACACTAATTACATACCAGGTAGGGGAGACATGAAGAATGATCCCTGTTCCTCCTCCTCCACTATATCTATCCCTTCATCGTCCTCCTCCTCCTCCTCTTGTTGCTCCTCCTCTACTCCTACTTGTTGTTTATTCTCCTCCTCCAGCTGCTGCTCCTCCTCGTCCGTATCAAATACAGCGTGATCATCCTCATCTATCTGAAGACTTGACTCCGCCTCTTCCTCCTCCGCCTCTTCCTCCTCCGCCTCTTCCTCCTCCGCCTCTTCCTCCTCCTCTTGTACAGGGGCGGCTTGTTCTTTACTGTTCTGCTGAGTTCATTAGATTTAGGAACCAGGATTAACTTAAAGAGTGTATAGTGAGTTGGTAACTTCATGTGCAATTTCAAATGATAAGCCTTTAAACTTAAATCTTAATGATTCTTAGCAAACGTACCTAATTAATGTAGTAAGTAAGTAGGAGATTAAAACTGCCTTGTATTTTATTTACATAGTAAAGCATATAACTGTATCCCTGGACCTACCTCAGGGGTGTTTCCTCCTTCCTCATCAAACGGATCAGGAAGATCATCCTCTTCTTCTTCTGCAAAGATAGAGGCTGGAGCAGAGGGTTCAATTGAGGGTGGTTTCATATCAGGAGTATCAGGACGAGAAGAAGGAGGGTTACTTCCAGCACGACCAGAGCCTCCTCCTCTCCTTACAACAGCAGAACCAACAGCCATTCTGAAAGGAAGATGTGATTGTTGGGTAGGAGAGTACATGAAAGAGCAACTTGTTATCAGGATTGTGTTGGGATATAAAACGAGCCTAAATATTACCCTAATTTTCTTATTAAGTTATTAAAACATCTGTAAAACACCTCCCAACTCACGTCATTTCCTTTAGGCTAATCCTATTTTCATGTTTTGCACAGAGCGTACTGTTGAACTGGGCCACCTCGCTGCACCTGTCCTGCTCCCCGTACATCCATTCTGTTCTGAGGTGCACTTCACACAGTTTACCATCTGGGTCACGTTTAAACACCTGTCGGAGGTGTTTGTTACTTAAACAGTTAAATAACGTAAAACGTAACTATTTAAATTTACTGTGCCTCTCTAATCTCTATACAAGGTACCTCGATATACCGGTCCTCCTTCTCCCCAAGCATTTAGTTAACTATCTCGTTCTTTTGCAAGAAATGTGATTAATTAACATAATTATGCTTTATTGACAAATGGTGTAAATTATGCGATTTTGTAATTATCTAATTACCACGTTGTAAGTCTCATCAATGGGTTCAGTCTTGACTGTTGCAGGCATTATCCCGTACTCAAACGGTTTACTCTCTCTGTAGTTTGCTCTTTTAGCAGAGGATTGAGTGGTGGTACCAGGTGAGGCAGCTGCAGGGGTCGGAGTGGGACCAGTAGGGGTCGGAGTGGGAGTAGAGCAGTTACTGGGTCCAGGAGGAGGAGAGCCCGGCTCAGGTGAAGAAAACAACTGGACAGGCTCAGAACTTGGAGTTACGATGTTGAACTCCACTGGCTCGGGCTTTACCTTCGTCTTATCTGCTGCTACTGAAATACAGTAAAACTTATGTTTAGAGGGTGCAGAATGCAGGCTCTACTTTATCATCTTCAAGTAAGCATAATAATGTAATCTGTGCGACATGATTCCAACGGGATGGTCAGTGAAATGTGTAAATCAGAACCTTCAGAAACCCTGTCGTGAAACGTGTTTTTAAGCCACAGGACACTTGGTATTGACGAATAATTTTAGTGAAGTTTCGGAGATAATAATAATTAATAAATACATTATAGGTGGTTACGATTATTTGGGATTCCTAGCCTCGTACAGAATGTATTAACATTACGTAATTAATCCGTTATCATTACAGAGTGTAACTTTACATTGTAGCCCACTGTAATGTGAGAGTTTGTTACAATGTTACTGGTAACCATGGTAACAGATAGGGTCACTGAACTTGCTGTATATTTCTGTTAAAAGGTGGTCACGTGGTTTTGTCACGTGATTTGTAGCACCTGTTTTAACACTTTCTCCCAACTTTATACAAGATAAGTTACACAGACCAGCCGCAGCCCGGGTCATTATTAAGTTTTTTGTTTCATCACAAAGATGAAATAGTGTTACAACAACGAAACTGGACTTACTATTTTAGATTTTGTTCAGGTTTTTCGATTGCTGACAAGGAATGTTATAACACATGGTGTTACCCAGACTACCAATTAGTAAATATCAAATACCAACTAACATTATCAGTAACTTATTACTTACTGCAGATTCCTTAAATTTGAGTGTAAGGTTTCTCTGCGGAGCACAGAAAACATCTCCTATTGTTACTGTGCTTTACTAAGAAAGATGATAATATGTAAGGTAGGGGACAGCCAGGGGGACCTTAGTAGTATTAGAAAAATGAACCTCAGTATTCAGTAAATTGCGGCCTCGCCAAATGGAAAATGTGACATTCAGAGTACTCCAATGCTTTAAATTATATAATGACTAGTGTAACCCGGCCTTCGGCCGGGATTTCACTGCCGCAGTTAAAAAGGGTAGGAGTAATTACCCGCTGAGTCAAAACCCGCATAAGGCGAGCAATTCTATTCGGAGTTCCCTCACGTATCCAATAATATCTGTACCACGACTATTACACCTCATTACTCCCGTCTTAAACCGCTTTAAATCGTTTTAGAAATTAACCCTTATTAACTCCGCACCACACCCGCCTTATATTTGAAAACATTCATTAAATTGTCGTATGAAAGTAAACAAACAGACCGCAATGAGTGGCTCCCCCCCTAATAAGCTTATAGTATTACACGCATAAACATTGTCGTATGAAAGTATGAACTCTCTCTACAGTTCAAACAGACTGCAATCAGTGCCCTACACTCCTTATATCACTTGCGGAGCTAACCTAATTACCAAAGCTACAATCTACAGTAGTAGTAATGGAAAAGAGAGCGAATAGTGAGCCATTTTATTGGCTCACTCCATAATGTTGCATTAATAGTACAAAACCATCGATTAAGCAACTTACCGCCGGCCGATTTAAAATTTTTTTGCATATATGGGCTTCGTCAGAGTTTTGTCGACACTATACCAAAAAAACCAGTCCTGTAACTCTTACCCTGCAGTTCCACGGCTCAGTTTTGCAACCAGATTTGCTCACATTTTTTATCACATTTTGCGACCGGAAATGAAATTCAAAAATATTTCTCCGCACAGAGAAATATTTTTGATATGACCCAAAACTCCGTGAAAGCAGTTTTAACCTGGGCGCTCGCGTGGGAAATTTCATTATGCGCCCACGTGAGCGCGCAAATCTGCGTGCAAATACCAACCGCATGGGAACGTACTTGTAAACAAAACTGCCTTCGCGGAGTTTTGCCTTTCAAAACTATTTTCGCGGAGTTTTGTGTCAAATCTGGTCGCAAAACTGAGCCGTGGAACTGGGCTGTTACCGTTTTTTCAATATAACCGACCGGAAATTACACACGCACACACACATACACACCTCTTGGCTTTATTAGTATTGATGAATAATAGATGACGCATATCTGCTATTATCTTGCTATATCTTGTTACACGAACATTGAACACCATCCATTGAATATGATCATGATTCAATGCAGCATAAACCAGGGACAAAAGGATTTCGCGATTATTTTGGCCAAATTTCGCGATACCGCGAAATTTAACAGGCTATACATTAAACTATACATAAAATTTGTCGCGGAGAATGGGAAATTTCGCGATTTCGTACATACCGCGAAATCCTTTTGTCCCTGGCATAAACCAACAAAAAACACTCCTTAGCTACTGTGCAATCATTCTAATGCTATTAGAGGTATCATCTATTATTAAGTCTTAGGATAATTCATTGATTCACAGCACTCACTCGCATCGCATACGCACTGTTACACTACACTACGTGTAACAATTTGGACTGGCCCACGTAGGTTAGTATAGTGTTTAAAAACGGCGTGTTTTAGAACTGTAGAAGGAGCTCCTTTTGTCGGGGGGGGGGGGGGGGGGGGGGGGGCCGGGGGCCGGGGGGGGTCATGCACTTAGTCATGTACGTGACGTTGGGGTGGTGTCACAGTTAGTACTTTTGTACTAAGCACAGTGTGCCCAGAGGCTGCAAAAAGTATTTTTGGTGATATTTGCTTTCCAGATAAGTTTAGCCTGATCTGATTAGAAATAATCTGAATTTTTTAACAAAAAAAGAATTAAGGGGCTATCATTTTTAGTTTTTGAGATATTTTGAATCATACACACCAAATTGGTATGAAATTTATGAATAAAATTCAATAGGATAAGAATTAATGGATGAATTGGTCGCATATAAACTAGAATAATAATCTCTAAACATGTCTAAAACCATAAACATTGTTTTTCATCATTATTATATGGAGTTAGGGGCCAGATCCAATAAAAATTGGGTTAAAAATACGAAATTTCGATTTTTGCAGGCAAAATTCGATGTTTTCATCATTTTTGAAGGACAAAATTTCGTTCGCATGGTACCAAAGTGCAGAATCAACTTCCAGATCGCAGTTTTGGGAACTATTAACTAAGTTATTTGTTATGCCTGATACCTTACATTGACAGAAAAAACATAATGGGGAACCCAAATTTGTCATCTGACACCTTCCCATGGCCATAAGTACCCCCAGCCTCCTTCAAAAAATTTGACTGCCAAAATATGGGGATATCACTATTTTACCCTTAACTAATCTTGGGGGCAGTTTTAGAGTCTCCACATGTGTTTTAAAGTAACCTTTAGGTATGGTTATGTTATGCCTAAGAATGACTATTTGGGAACTATTTTCAGCTACTGCCCTAAAATTTTGGTAATTTTATTGAAATTAGGGTCCTTTAAAGTTAAAAAAGGGCTAAATGTACCATTTTTAGACCTTAAATTGCAAAAATAATGATTTCTGAACTGTTTGAGAGCATCAAGATTGCTTTTTAAGTGTTTTTGGTCATTGTAAGGTCCGGAAACACTTGTTGGGGTGATTTAAAGGCTTTAAAAAAGAAAATATCAGCAATTTGGGGCTAAATTACCTTATTTTGTAAGCACGTAACTCAATTTAGCTCAAAATAACATTGTTTTTGTCCCAGAAAATTCGAATTTTGATCAAAAGCCATGTATGGAGGTATCAAATGAAAGCTCTTGATAACCTCTTTCCATTTAAAACACAAAGAAGTAGTTTATAATTGATATAAGTGATAAAATGGTCTAAAAATGGAATCAAAAAGTCCTAAAATTCACAAAATTTCTGTATAATCTTAAACCTTTGATGGCCCATAAAAAAATCATGCCACAATATCACACTGTAAATTTTTCTGAGATTACTCTAAATGTCCTATACTAACAGATAGCGTAAATTATGGATGCTCACCAAAGTGAATTTGTCACTTATTTTTGTAATTTGTTCAAAAATATGGCAAAAAAACGGCAAAAAAATGTAATTTTACACAAAAAATCAGGTTAAATCAATATATGAGGTCAAAAATCCTTCTAATCATCTTGAAAACCCCTTTAAAACGATTTCTCATGCAATTTTAGGGTGGATAGGGTGGTTTTAAATTGAAAATAGGCTGGTTGAAGAAAAAAACTGACTTTTTGCAGATAATTTGGCTCGCGGGCACACTGTGCTAAGTGGTGGGTCTGCTGCTCATTTCCCAGAAAAACAGTTAGTACATGATACTAAGGGGGGTGTCCAACCCCAAAAAACCCTTTTACCTCAAATTTCAATTTTGGGAATGGGTTTTTTTGAGTTTTTTATGGTGGGTTTTTTTGAATTTTTATAGTGAATATAATTTGCCCATTTCCCAATGTTTAATGAGCTGTTTAAAGCAATTTATGGGTGGGTATCTTACTTTAAATACCAAGACACAGTTAGTACCGTGATTTCTCAACAGGGTAGTACCGCAAAAGCCGGCAAAAGGGGTGTCTTAATTATTATCCGAAAAAACAGTGAGTATCGTGAAGTGGGTGGGGGTCTTTTGAAAAATCCCAAAAGTACACTTAGTCGACGTCACGTACAGAACTTAGTACCTGATCCCCCCCCCCCCCCCCCCCCCCCCCCCCCCCCCCCCCCCCCCGATTCTATAAACAAATCAGAATGGTCAGGTAACAACCTGTTGGCAGGTGTGTAGCAAGGATTTAAGAAGCAGTAGGGCCACTTTTGGAAGGGCCAGTATTTGCATTGGTAGGGCCACTTAAGGCCCTAGTACCAAAAATTCACCAGGGCCACCCCTAGTGTCTCCTTGAGCAGTAATCGTGCTTATACCTGGTGACAACTGCACTGGTTACACCTTTGTTGGTGCACCCCTCGGGGTCACATCTGGGAGGAACCTAGATGGAGTTTTAAAGCGTTTACCAGCTGCTACCAGGCATTTCATGAAAGAATCTTTGAAAAGTTGGCACTTATGCAAATAGTCATGAGAGATGAGTCACCAATTAACTGTATTGTTATACTGTAAAATATACTGTATAATATATAATAATATTACATAATTCGAACAATTTAATTCATCACTGATGATTGGTATTTGGTATTGTTTTATACATATGATGAAACGGATCGTTTGCCCGCCAATTTGATTTGTTTCGATTGTTCGAATTATAATGTAGAGCACTCTCTTTGGGAAACAAAGCAACAACTATTCATAATATTACATATATATATTATATAAAGTACAACTTTCTGCTCCGATGAGGGAGAAAGTTTTTCGAGGAGAGCCGCTTAGACATGGGCAGTTTGGGCACCGTATTGTTTGAATTATTTATTTATATTTCGTACTGTACACTGAACTAACATAACATGGTGTATGTAGGAGCACATAAGAAGCTGAAATGAACTGCATTTGTTTATATATTGTGTAATGTGAATATAGGAGAAGGAGAAAGAGTTACGATGCACTACATTCAGCCGAAAAGTGGCAATTATCATCTGTAGTAATATAGCCGTTATGTATCCGTTATAGTCTATAGAGAGGCTGGGCCTGGGTGGCCCACTAGAGGATAGCATGTGGATGCTTTGCCTACCTCTGGGGTATGGCAGTCCTATGGGAGGATGCCGGTGGAGTCAGAATGTGTAGTCAAGGATGATGGTAAGTGTTGTGGGATGTGTCATAGCGGGGGGATCATAAGGTCAGAATCGTACGTGACGTTTGGGGGGGGGGGGGGCTGGGTCATTATTTTTTCCAAAACACAGTTAGTACATGGTACATTTCCCAGAAAAACAGTTAGTACATAGTACTCAAGGGAGTGTCCAACCCCAAAAAATCCCATTTTACCTCTAATTTCAATTTTGGGAATGGGTTTTTTTAAACGTTTTTCCTATTTTTGTAACTTTTTATCTAATTCGACTACATTGAAAACAAAACCCCTACTAAATAGTGAGTATAATTTGCCCATTTCCCAATGTTTAAATAGCTGTGGGTATCTTATTTTATATACCAAGACACAGTTAGTACCGTGATTTCTCAACAGTTAGTAGTTAGTACCACAAAAGCCGGCAAAAGAAGAAGAACCTTCCAGCACATGAAACGATGCTGTATAATGACGTAATGAACGATTCATTTCCTTGTACAAACCTTATTACATGATCTCACTACTACAGAGGAGCTCTTGTGTGTATCTAACAGTGCGTTACACAATATATGTATAATATATAGTTTCTTCACTCTAGTACAGTGTAAGGTGGGTCTAGGGAGAGGAGTGGAACGAGTTGAGTGTAGGGTGCAGTGGGAAGAGTGGAGTGCAGTAGGGTGCAGGGAGAGGAGTGGAGTGTAGGGTACAGTGAAAAGAGTGGAGTGTAGGGTGCAGTGAGTGGAGTGGAGTGTAAAGTGCAGTGAGAGGGGTGGAGTGTAGGGTGCAGTGAGAGGAGTGGAGTGTAGGGTGCAGGGAGAGGAGTGGAGTGTAGGGTGCAGTGAGAGGAGTGGAGTGTAGGGTGCAGTGAGTGGAGTGGAGTGTAGGGTGCAGGGAGAGGAGTGGAGTGTAGGGTGCAGTGAGTGGAGTGGAGTGTAGGGTGCAGTGAGAAGAGTGGAGTGTAGGGTGCAGGGAGAGGAGTGGAGTGTAGGGTGCAGGGAGTGGAGTGGAGTGTAGGGTGCAGTGAGAGGAGTGGAGTGTACGGTGCAGTGAGAGGAGTGGAGTGTAGGGTGCAGTAAGAGGAGTGGAGTGTAGGGTGCAGTGAGTGGAGTGGAGTGTAGGGTGCAGTGAGTGGAGTGAAGTGTAGGGTGCAGTGAGAGGAGTGGAGTGTAGGGTGCAGTGAGAGGAGTGGAGTGTAGGGTGCAGTGAGTGGAGTGGAGTGTAGGGTGCAGGGAGAGGAGTGGAGTGTAGGGTGCAGGGAGTGGAGTGGAGTGTAGGGTGCAGTGAGTGGAGTGGAGTGTAGGGTGCAGGGAGTGGAGTGGAGTGTAGGGTGCAGGGAGATTACTTATCTAATGACGCAAGTCCCCAAGTTAAGCGATCCAGTGTGGAAGTAAACATGGAGATGTTAGAGGTAACATTGTTCATGTGGGAAAGATATAGAGTTAAGAGACTGTACCTTCTTTATGGATGTTATCGTAGATTTTCTTTACTTCATTAATAGATAAGTGGAGTAGACCGCTCGTCACTTCCACAGTTGTTCCGGCCTTGTACTCCTTGTATAACCTGACGTTTAAATCTTTGGTTAGATTAGTATTATGTTATAATGGAGTTGGTTGGTTATTTATTTTTAGAGTTGGTTTGTTATTTCAAATCAAACATTTTGGCGGGAAATTTGGTAGAATTATTATTGTTATTTGATAGTACTATTTGGTTTGATTGAGGACAACAATGAGCAGATATGCGGCAGTAAGTAATATTCCGCTAATGTCGACGACCTGTAATAAGATAAATAAGGCAAAAGAAGAGCCGGTAGTTAATTGTGTTATTGTTTCCTGCAGGCAATATTAATGAATTAAGTGACTAATAAATTCCGTAATCAATAGTTCGTATGTGGTCAGTGGTGCGATTAATCTCTTAGTGCTACTTAGCACTATATAAGAGATTAATCGCACCACTGACCACATAAGCACATACGAACTAGATTGATTACGGAATTTAATCTAAAGTTCGCACGTGATCCTAGCCTCTTAATATTCCTACTTCAGGAGTCAGATTATTAATGGAACAAAGGACGCATTACACTACTTGAACTTTCACGTGCTATCTCTATATTATTATCTCTAGTAGTGTTCTAGACAACATAACGGGTGATGAATAAAAAATGGGACTACATGTTTTTTAGCCCTCAGATTCCACCTGAACAAAATTTTGATATTTTACCACAACCACCAGTTACTCTGAACGATACTCGAACAGTTTCCGCCCCCATTTGATCAAATTGGTTGATCTTTGTCTCCGATAATGGTCTCGAACTAGGGGAGGGGTCCTATAAAATGTTTACAGTAAAGCACTGTTCACAGAAGTCGCCTCACAGGTAGTTAAAGCTTCCATACCAAAAAATGTTTAGCAGAGAGTATGCCGAATTTAATGCTTAAGACGAGGGTTCAACACCCATCAGCATAGCTAAAACCAGTAAGAAGATATTTGAGCTCAAAACCACCTGAGGGGTAAAATTTTACCGTGTGAAAGATCGAGGCTAGGTCAACTATCGGCTTTAGCATGGTCTATAATGGTACCACGTAAAAATCAAAGTGCTTGGAGCCTTGCCTGGTGTTGTTCATACAAGAAAATATCCCCAAAGGGTGGAAGGTGGTTCGTTAGGATGGGGCTAGATCGTATTTTTCTGTGAAAACCACATCTTTATTTGCCATAGGGTTAATTTCGTCCCAAAAGTGATCGACCAAAGTAAATTTTGACAATCTCAACCCATAGAGGACTTCTTTAGAGTCCTGGCAACACATGTACATGCCCGGAATATGGCTAACAAGCATACATGGGCCCTAGGGCACAAAAGAAGAGACTGCGCCAACACGATTTTAGGCCCAACTGTACAGACGGATTTTTGAGCTTGAAGAAAGAAGCCCTCCTGAACCAATCAAAATGGGCTCATGGGCGCTTGTCATTGACCATACTTGTTCAAAATTGCCCGCTTTACAACGCTGTTTCATTGGTTTGAACCGAAAATAGTTTTATCGACACTAAAAAAACCCTTGAAAAAAGTCCCATTTTTTAGTCATCACCCGTTATTCATTGTACAATGTGTGTACGTGTAACTTAAATCTCCGTCGCAATCTTCAACAAAGCTATAGAGCTTCTTCTTCCTTGGGATACGCCACACAAACTCCACCTCGTACAACAAATTTTGTACCACCTCGTACAACCATGGTACCACTACAACAACCAGGTTGCGTTATAGCTCTTCTTATCAGTATACACACGAGTATCAGGAATATTTACTGTTATCTGAAGCCTTACTGTGCGCAGTTGCCAGTTATACACTATACCACACTATACTAGACAATGTCTACTGCCCAGGTCAAGATTAATACGAGATTGTGAGTTAGACTCATCGCACAAAATTTGTAAATAAATAAGAAAACAGAAAAAGTTTAACTTAAAAGTTGAGGGACACAATAATAAGGAACTTAACATGGCGTGAGATCACGTGTATTTTATCACTTGTTTATAGTATGAAAACTTCGACGTAACGCGCGCGAGATTTGTGCAAGATTTTTGCGAGTTTCGTATAAATCTCATCGCTAGGCTCGCGATGAGGCGAGTTTAACCGCGAGCCTCTCTTTGATACACAATTTTGGACTCGGGGCTTCCCCCTGGTAATGCAGTCTCGGAAGGCAGGCCTCCCCTTTGCAACAAGAGCTCGGAATCGGGAGCTCTCGATACGGGAGGTACGTATCGAGAATGACTCGGAACGAAAATTGTCTAAGGGTCTGCCCACACTACGACGTGCGCGCGCCTGTACAGTACTTACATCAAGTAGGTTGCACCTGCGCGCACGCCACGCACGTGACGTGCCTGGAACATGTTTTCACGCCAACAGGCGTAGTGTGTTTAGATAGACGGGCCACATGGCGTGACTTCTCATGCCAAGTGGCACAGTGTGTTTAGGTGGCGGGCCTAGACTCGGGCCACCATTTTGATTGGCTGACAGGACGATGACGTCACAAATATGCACGCCAAGTGGGCCGTCCTCTAAACACACTGTGCCACTTGGCGTGATTATAACAAGGCACGGATTTTTTTTAAATCCTACACCCCTGACTTGATCCTGAACGTCGCAACTTATTCCCTCTTCTACCAGCATTGTGATTGTTCATTCGTGACGCCTCTCTGGCTCAACCGACTGATACGGAATATCAAGGTCACGTGGCTCCATACTGGACTCTAGACAGTGACTCAGTTAAGAATATAGACGGTTATTATCACTGTTCCAGAGTCCAGACAGTGGCTGCTTGCTAACAGCCCTGTCCAGCGCAGAACCGCTCCATGTGTTTATAGATCACGTGATACCGATGTAGCGCATGTATTTCTAGATCTTGTATCCAAGTACAACAGTCCTTGACATCTCACTTCGCACTCTGTACTTTTTGGATTCTATGAGACAAGCGGACATGGCACCCCCCGGCCCCCCCCCCCCCCCCCCCGCCCCCCCCCCCCCCCGCCCCCCCCCCCCCCCGCCCCCCCCAACTAGATGATGTGGTTGAACCGATTTCATGAGGAACTAAACACTCTAAAACCAGATCTATTTATAGGTATACGTGAGTTTACTGTCGTAGTATGTAGTAAGCTGTGCCAACAACATTGAATGAGTTCCAATGTAGAATGAGTTTAAGTCTGATAATATAAACTAATACCAGTTACCTAGAGAAATATTCCAGTGTAATGTCGGAGTATCTGATCACTGAATCCTTCCTTACAGGTATTCTTTGCAGGCACCTGAACAATAACCCCGTTACACCTGGTGACACTTCTTGATTTACTCTCTTTTGTTATTTTAGTAACTAGTGCAATGTTTTAAACATAACCATTATTATGAAGTTTAATTCAACACATTGTGTTACACATTGTGTTACACATTGTGTTACACTTGGATAATTCAGAATAATATCACAATTATTCCCATTTACAACACCAAACCCCCAACTTACTTATCACACTCCCATTGCCACATATCTTTGTGCTGGCAGGATGCCAACTCTAAGTGACCACGTGAACAGTGTACACACTTCTTATTCTTCTTCTCGTAACTGCAGAATTAGGTAGAGGTTACTTGAGGTGTTTAATAATACAGGCCTATAATTAGAAATGTTGGCAATAATGCGATTCAGTTTCTGATAAAATTACCTATTACCTTACGAGAAATATTTAGGTCACCATCATTATTTTTCATGTATTTTCCTTAATTATGACTTTATCGATTTATTATCAACTTATTAATATAGTAAGTTATAAATATGATTCATCAAAAGATCAAACAAATGAACACTAGTATACAATCATGAATTACTTTTAAAATGATTTTGGCCGCGTTCCATTAAAAGTAAGCAAGCTCTGTCACTACTATATTAGCCACGGCGGTGAAATTTCGGGAGTAGTGGAAGATAACAGACACTGTCAATCTCCTGTACCGTTTGGAGGATTAGAAGTTAAGTTGAGGCTAACTTTTAAAGGCTCCGGAGAAATTGTTTACAAGAAGAAACAGCTGATCATTCAGAGAAAATCTTTGTAATTTTCTCAAATTGTGGGTTTCATTTTTGTAGAATAAGGAGATGCAAAAAATCCCCAAATACCATGATCTAATTTGGGGTACGAAATGTGGCGGTTTTCGGAAAAAATTTCCATATTTTCGTTCCCAAATCATTCAGGTCACCGGAATTATGTCGAACATAAATATGTCTCGTAAGGTATGTGTTATGTGTAAGATTTGACCCTCGAATATCTTAGTTATTTATAGCTATTAGCTATTCCGGGGGATATATTGTAAATACAGAAAATACTGCGTCCTACACGAAATTCTTCAAATTCAAGAATAGATTAAAATCGCAGGCTTTCTTCGCAAGTGTATATTAGTACATTACATACGCCCAGAGTTGAAACTCTGAATTCTAACTTAAATAACAACAAAAAACCTTAGATTATGAGTACTAACTCTGTAAGAAGACCCTCTGAGATCAGCTCCTTGATGATCTTAAAAGTCAAAATCTTCTCCGACTGCTCTTTCCCCAGAGTATTCTCCTTCTCCTCCTCGAAATCAGCAGCAGCATTTACCTCTTCGTCTGTGGAAGAGGCGTGTTGTCTGGGCAACCCTTCGCTACCTGAGGAAGAGGCGCGTAGTCTGCACGGTCCGCTACTTGATGATGTGCTGCTGTTGCGCGAGGGTGTTTCTTCAGTCTCTAGGATTGTCTTTTTAGCTCTGGTGTGGGTAAATGTAATTAGTAGAGTATGGTGATTAGTAATGTTAAGTGAGTTAGCTATTGGTACAGATGAGTGGATTTTCTTGGTAATTACAAGCTAATTACACGTTACATCCGAACCGAAAGTAAGAGTACTTTCGTCAAATACAACTAAATACTTTCGAGAAAACCATAGTATATAGCTAACTTTAGCAGGGTAGTGTTGGTTATGTGCCTAACCTGGTGAGCACAGTGGTTATCCTTGCTGTACGGCTAGTTAAACAAGGAATTGAAACTGTGGGGCTCCGTGCAGACCAACCTACCTGTGGCTAAAGCTCTAATATACAAAAACAATACGTTACAAGCTAATTACACGTTACAATTACATACTTGTTGGAAGGCAAGGATTCCGGAACTTTCTTCTCTGCCTCACGTCGTTTGTTCCTTTGGTGACGGCTGTGAAAGTGAAATATTAGTCAAATAGTATTAACACAAATGTGAAACAAAGTGAAATATTAGTCAAATAGTATTAATATAACACAATAATAAAGAATAATGAAATATCAAGTCATGGCAAGTCTTCAATAAAACTCGATCATCACCAAAACAAGGACAGTAGTTAAACTGCTGTGGGATACTGAAGGGAAAGGAAGCAGTTCTAACGAGCTCTTCTCAAACACAAGGATATAACTTGTGAACTCGGCTAGTATATATGAAGCATTTGTCATGGAGTTGTAGAGGGAGTTATGTGCCTCGCCGGGCTAAAGTAGTGGATGACCTTGCTGTACGGCAAGTTAAACAAGGATCTGAAACTACTAGGTTCCGTACAGACTCAACTCTGCACCCGTGTCAATATGTTCATTATATGCAAGCCTCTTGATTTATTACTATACTATACTTGACAGGCTCACATATTTTAACACATTGTGCTGGAACCATAAATTCCTGAAATATCAAATAAATAATATATCTCTGACACTCTCAGTTTCGAACAGAGGATGAAAAATAGTTGACTCACATTTTCCAGAAATTCGTACACTTGTCCTTTAAATGGAGTTGCAGGGTTGTGAGGAGATTCTTGAAGTAAGATCCACAGTGCCTGGAATAAAATGTACTTTTAACACAACTTACTAAGCTTCACCTTGGGAATTTTACCCAGAGTAATAAAAACAGGTCCCAGTAAGCGCATGGTGTATAAGGTCTAGGTGTAACTCAGTGTCACTCTGTGTCCCTTTACCAATTACAAAGAATTTCGCCCAGACTGGTAAGTGTCAACAGCTAAATAATGATATCACATTCTTTCAATTATATTGTTACCCATAAAGCTGACGTTAAGGAGAATACTTATGAAAACTGATACCTTAAATTACCGTCGTCAAACTCTGGCACCTGGTAAAACTGAACCCTAATGTGATATTGGAGACAGGATTATTTGATAAACTAGGCTCTCACTAGTCTTGCAATCGCCGTGTTGTTTAGCTTAACAATCTAACAATGGAAAACATGGTATTAATCGTGTTGTAACACTATCTTAAACAATAATCTCAGAATGTGTGTGTGTGTGTGTGTGTGTGTGTGTCTGTGCGTGTGTCTGTGCGTGTGTAATTTCCGGTCGGTTATATTTTAAAAACGGTAAGAGTTGCAGGACTGGTTTTTTCGGTATAGTGTCGAAAAAACTCTGACGAAGCCCATAAGCAATTTTTTTAATCGGCCGGTGGTAAGTGGTTTGATTGATGGTTTTGTACCACAAATGTTACATAAAATGGCTTGAGCAGCTTAATCAAGAAACGGTAAGAGTTACGGGGCTCGCTCTCACTCCCATTACTGTATATTATGTACCGTATATATTACACTGCCATTTAATACTTTAAACTTATTAGGGGAGGAATCGCTCAAAGCGGTCTGTTTGGACTGTCGAGAGAGTTCATACTTTCATACGACAATGTAATGCATGTTTTCAAATATGTGGGTGTGGTGCGGAGTTACATACATGCTTCATGCTACATGAAGAGGTCTCCTCCTAGTCGTTGGAGTGGCCTGCATCACACACATCTCTTCTACGGCGTAACATGTTCCTCCATTCCACTCGCTTTAGAGCCAACTGCTTTACTGCATCTCTGATGATGTTATCGACACCTGTAAATCAGCCGCATCCTCGAGTACACAGGCCATCCAGCCTTTGCGGGGTCGTCCTCTCAGTCTCTTTCCGTAGTTTGGTTTCCAATCCAGTAAGAAATTGGGAAACCGCGTCTCTGGCATTCTGACAACATGTCCGTACCACCTTAGTCTAGCCGCACCGATGAAAGTTTCGAAAGACTTAATTCCAGCACGCCTGAGAACTTCTTCATTGGAGTCATGGAAGAACCACTTTATCTTCAAGATTCTTCTCAGGGAGGTCAGATGGAAGACCTCAAACCGTTTCAATTGGTTCTTTGCTGTGTTCCACACTTCAGCTCCATATAACAGAATAGTAATAACATGAACAGCAGCCTTGTAGATACGGATCTTGGTGGGCGTTCTTATAGCTCGACTGTTCCATATCTTCCAAAGCTGATGGAACGCACCATTAGCACGCTGGATCCTGATATCAAGATCTCGGTCAATGGTACCATCCCCACTGATGTTTGCACCAAGATAAACAAAGTCGCTGTCCTGTTCAACAGGTTCTCCCTCCACTGTTAGCTTTATACTGTCTCTTTCGGTGTAAGGTCGCACACTTGCTGATCGCCATGCATTGTGTCTTTTTAGCGTTGATCTTTAACCCAGCATAAGAGGTGTAATAAGCTATAAGATCAGTGGACTCTTGCAGCCCTTCTTCAGTATTGTCCATCACTGCCAGATCATCAGCGTAGTCACTATCCATGATAACTTTTTCATCTGCACCCTTTAGTTCCTTTTGCAGTACAGCACCATGACTGATTGCCTTGTGAACCTCGGCCAAAGTTCAGACAAAAATTAAATACAGGAGGGCCCTGGATATCACCCTGTCCAGTGCCCGAATTAACAGAGAACAATCAGACATATCACCATTCACCCTGACAGCACTCATGGTTCTGTTGAAGAATGCCTGAAAGATTCTAACATATTTCTCAGGAAGTCCATAGTGTCTCATGCTTGACCAAATAAACTCTCTTCTGATGGAATCAAACGCTGCCTTAAAATCAATGAAATTAACATAAAGTGGAATGTTAAAAGGTTAAACTCAATGCAGTTGTGAATAATGGTGCGGATGGAATAAAACTGATCAATACATGAGCGGTTCCGTCTGAACCCACACTGATTTTTCCTAAGAAGACACTCCATTCCAACATCCAGCCTCTTAAGAAGAACCATTTGGAGAACCTTAGAAGACGTTGCCCTAAAAGTTATACCCCTATGCGGAGTTAATAAGGGTTAATTTCTATTGATTATTGTTTAAGATACTATTTTGTACGCTGTTACTGGATACGTGAAGACACTCCGAATAGAATTGCTCGCCTAATCCGGGTTTTGACTCAGCGGCTAATTAATCCTACCCTTTTTAACTGCTGCAGTGAAATCCCGGTCGAAGGCCGTGTTACACTATATTATTATATTAATATAGTGTTACAACACGAATTATACCATGTTTTCCATTGTTAGATTGTTAAGCTAAACAACACGGCGATTGCAAGACTACGGGTAAACCGACCCTAAAATGTCACCCACCCCTAAAACGCCACTCTTGATTGATTGGATCCCATCTTCTTAGAAAGTATCTTACCTAATCATTTGTAACTCCTAAACATAAAAGAATATCATTCAGACCCTGCCACATCCTGAAATTGAATCTAAATGATGCCATAAGGGCATTTTTTTCACTTTGTACGAATTTTTTACTTTTGAAAAAAGGCGCACAATTTTATAACTCTGGAATTCATTAATATTAACTCGGTTTTGGTCTAGGATAGTGATATTTACATATTTTAGCAACTTTGTACATATGACTGGAGATATGGAAAGTTATACATTACTCAATATTACTACCCTCCCCTAAAATGTCACCTGGCCGCCCCCTAAAATGTCATTTTATCAGATTCTGGCTTTGAGACTACAAGCACCATAAAATGGAGGTACCAGCCTATTAAACATAATATTTAGCATCTAATGGTAATATTGGAAAGCTTTGGCAGCTCAAGGAATTAGTTTTATTTTATTAATCGCAATAAACATCCCCTAAAATGTCTAATTATCCCCCCTAAAATGTCATTTTAACCTGATCAAATTACTCAGGCTTTTCCTAAGATGCTATGCATGTACTCACATTTCGTTAATAGTTGATGTTAATAATTAACAAGTGCCAAAACAAGAGCTATTATCGCACACCATGCGAACAAAATACAAATTTGACATTTTAGGGGAGAAAAAAATGACATTTTAGGGGGGCATATCATAGGTTTACCATAAACTAGTAAGTACCAAAAACCGTAGTTTTTGACATTCAATTTTGTTAAAAGCAGTCAAATCTAGTCTATAGAGAAGGTCAGATCGATTACTGGGTTGGCTTAGTTAACTACAGGTCACTAAAATTGCCAAAATGCAGGATGATGTTAAAAATCCCAAAAAATGCAATTAAAACATGCAATTTGCACTAAGTTAAAATCACATTGAATCCATTTCTTTTGTGCCAATTGTTAGTTTATAACTAGATAATCTAACTACAGGTGTAAATTTTGTTGACTGAGTTACTGTTTTGCCGTAAGTTCTGGGTATTCAAAAAAAAGTCCCCAAAATGTCACAAAAAGTAAATTGACTAAATTCCACCATTTTTTTTCAACAGAGAGAGAAATTCTGGTCGACACCTCTCAGAAATAGGTTATATTTGTCCCAGAAGTGGTTAAAATTAATAATTGAGCAACATTCTGAGTGCTACACAACCTGTTTTAGCTGACGTTTTAGGGGTGGTGCACGTGACATTTTAGGGGGTGATTACGGTTTTGAGGTACTTCCTTTAGTGAGTGAATGTTTTCAAGTAGCTTAATGTTTTAATAAGACAAAACAAATAGTACTAGTGACAAAAGATAAATCAGGCCTCCTGTACATTTTGTAATTATCACACATATAGAGTTGACATTTTAGGGGTGGTGTTTTAAAAGTGACTCCATTTCAACGTCAAAAAAATTGTACCTGATTTTATTTTCAAATTTCCAAATCTTCCTGGCAGGCTAGAAAAAGGTTTAAATATTATTCCTAGACACTTCAGAACCCTGTAAATTTAGCCCTAACTCGGCAATCTGGGCCCAAAAAACAGGTGACGTTTTAGGGGCGGTTTACCCGTAGTGAGAACCTAATTTATCAAATAATTCTGTCTCCAATATCACATTAGGGTTCAGTTTTATTACACACCAATTGTATGATGATCCGTTACTAGAGAAATGTGTAATATGTGTGTACATAAATATAATGCAAGTTTTAATTTATACTAACTTGCACTTTTGTTTTTTGGTGGAACCTTCGTTTACTAAAGAGTACTGACGGCGAACAAAAGCCTCATTACCATCTATCCGCCTTACATCAGAGGTTGTGAGTTGGGATTCTAGTTCTTTCCTCCTCTTCTGACTCTGAAGTATTTGGTTATAGCAATTAGCAGACAAGCTTTTCTGGTGTTTATATTGGAACTAATACAGTCCGTGTGTGAGAATGAGACAACTTTGACGGTCATGCCAAGACTGACATACATAACTGACGTACATTATACATACTACATAAACTTGACGAATACGAAAGTAGCAGCTACTCATGAGAGAATGTTATTCCCACGGGATTTGTAGATCACGTTATGTTTTGTCTTAAATCTAAATATATAATACAGCTTAAAAATCAGTTACCATAAATAAAGCAGAACGGTTAGACCGGAAAGGTTAAGATTTAATAATTTAATTTCGAATTGGTTGCTGAACTAATAACGCCGCTTTATATACACTATACAGCTGCTACCTTCAAAGAATACAAGTACATGCAGATTGCAGACAGGCTTCGTGCGGGATTAGTCGTTGTAGGTTACTGTTTATATAATAAATGCGGGTATTTAGAAAATACAGGTTTAAAACGCAGGTTTAGATGAACAAAAGATGCATCAACACACTCAGCACATTCAGGTTTCAAAAATGAAAGTTTTGATGAATAAAAGCTTTGTCAATTCATGTAATATCAGTGCAGGATACAGTAAAACCACGATTTACCGCGCCCCATTATACCGCAAACCCCGATTTACCACGGCCATTTCCTTCCCCCCAAATAGGGCTTAACATACAATTAACACAAATAAAACGCCGATTTACCGCAAACGCCGATTTACCGCAAACGCCGATTTACCGCAAAAACAGATTTACCGCTGTTTTTTTTCTTTCCCCAAACCCTGCGGTGAATCGGGGTTTTACTGTGCTTTAAATACTAACATTAATATTTCTCTCGTAGCCACTTTGCGGTATTTCTATTTTTCTTCTTTTGGACATTTTTCTTAGCTAACGAGAGAATATCAAGGTTAATATCGTCCAGTATCAATTAATATCAATCTTACTAAATTGATTCTATTGTCAGCGTGGGCCAAAAATCATACTCAACAATCAACTTCATTTAATTATTTCGTTATCAGAGATAAAACATGTAAAATCGAAATAGGATTACTACCAGCACAATCATTTGCCGTGGCAACAAAATAAGAAAGTACACACAGAAGCATCGAAAATATGTTGAAAATGGTATAATGTGGACTCAGTAAGCAGCGATTTGATGTGGGCAGATATTATTATATAATCACAAAACTTCTTTGAGGTTCGAGTTAATGATAATTAATTTTCGGACTCAAAACGCAATTGGAACCGGACACGAGGGCGGAGGGCCGGAGAACACAAGTCACAAGGGTGGAGAACACAAGGGCGGAGGACACAAGGGCGGAGGGCACAAGGGCGGAGGACACAAGAGCGGAAGACTTCTTCTGATTGGTCAGCGTCGACTGTAAGCCTTCCTTTCGGTGGCTTTCACAACGCGTCCCTAAGTCTTGAAGCTCTGTTACCACCACCCCTGGTGCAATCCCGTCGGGTTAAAGACAGAGAGACAGGGACTTCCAGAGGAGGTCATGGCCTGCTATGTGCAACTCGTAGGAGTATGCAGATTGCAGTGTTCCTGGTGGGTGTTACTTCTTGATCTGTTTAACGGGATCGTCAAACACTTGATACACAATACACAGTTGCCTAGGTGTCTTAGCGGAAACTTGTCTCTGGCCCTCAATTATATGTTTATATCTCGAATCACACAGTATCATGCTCCTGAATATTTCCCTATTTTTGAACCGTCCATGAATATTGCTAAGAGTGATTCCAACCTGTAACGTCACACTCACTGTAGACCGCTCCTCTATCCTTGTTTTGAGTTTCCGATCCAGAACCAGATCCTGGAGTTACACAAGACATGGTAGCCTGTGAGCGTGTTAAATCATGGGGTTGCACGAGAAATGGTAGCCTGTGAACGTGTTAAATCCTGGGGTTGCACGAGACATGGTAGCCTGTGAACGTGTTAAATCCTGGGTTTACACGAGACATGGTAGCCTGTGAACGTGTTAAATTCTGGGGTTACACGAGACGTGGTAGCCTGTGAGCGTGTTAGAGTCCTTGGATTACACGAGACGTGGGAGCCTGTGAGTGTGTTAGTTTCCTGCGGAAGGTGTTATTTGCCTGTGGGAAGAGCAGTTTTGTTACGGTTCTAAGGTTAATAGAGGCTATTAGAGGTTAGAAACACCCATGAACCTCCCGTTCGAGCCACCCACTCCACACCGCGTGGAGGTTCGGTGAGGTTTTTTTGGGGCAAGAGCGGAAGACACGAGGGCGGAAGACACGAGGACGTAGCACACAAAGGCGTTACTTTCCTAAAAAGGTAGACAGACACAAGGGCGGATCAAATGACACTCAACGAACATGGACACGAGGGCGGAACCAAAAATCGTCCACTTAATATATAGCCATATTCAATAATTTAATCATAACTGATAAGACTATTCTCCAGAAAAACATAGGATTACACAGGTCTTATATGTTCTCAGTAATCTTCAACCCTTTATGTAACTTACTTGGCTTAATGTAAGCCAATAAACACCATGTTAACTTAAAATTATAGAAGTCTGCTGTCCTATACCCACCGCAATCCCAGGTATCATCTGATCATGATACGCATGATGATTGATGAACCTCAAGCAGTTATACGGCTCACTGACCTAATCCTGATAAGGACCCAACAAGGAGTTACCAAATATCTAACTAGTACATCTCAATACTGCAATCTGTTCTCAGAGGTGCTCATTCGGTATAATGACCCTTTTATATCTTATCATTGTCAATGAAGTTGGATATAGGTGATACAGGAGGTGAAACAGACAACGTGTAAAAACACTAGCTAATTCATCATCAACATATTAAATTAGGACATTGTGCCAAACCGAAGAACGATCGTTATCTAGCAAAGACCGAGTCCGAACGATTAACTATCATGGAGTTAATTAACAGTAGAAAATATACTGAATTATTTATAAGCTGATGAGAACACTGTCAAACTGTACTAGGCAAAACAGATCACTGTCAAAATCAAATGTAACGGAAACTTTATTATTATCAATTAGAGGTATTTACGGGGGGGGGGGGGGCCGGGGGGGCCGGGGGGATCAGGTAGTAAGTTCTGTACGACTAAGTGTAATTTTGGAATTTTTCAAAAGAACCAACCACCCACCCCCTTCGCGGTAACTGTTAAAAAATCACGGTACTAACTGTGTCTTGGTATATAAAATAAGATACCCACCCATAAATTGCTTTAAACAGCTCATTAAACATTGGGAAATGGGCAAATTATACCCACTATTTAGAAGGGGTTTAGTTTTCAATGTAGTCGAATAAGATAAAAAGTTACAAAAAAAAGAAAATTTTTTAAAACCCAAAAAACCTCATAACCCATTCCCAAAATTGAAATTTGAGGTAAAATGGGTTTTTTTTGGGTTGGACACCCCCTTGAGTACTATGTACTAACTGTTTTTCTGGGAAATGTACCATGTACTAACTGTGTTTTGGAAGAAAATATGACCCACCTGCACCCCCCCCCCCCCCCCCCCCCCAACGTAACGTACGGTACTTAGTGTATGTACATTGTACCCCCCCCCCCCCCCCCCCCCCGCGCCGGTATGTACTATTACATTGTAGTAACAACTTTTATATCCTATCATCTTAAAGGAACTGAGAGTCCGAGCTTTCAGTCGTATAATTTTATTTCAGTCGTATAATTTTAATTCGTTTTATTCACTGATAATTTTGTATCGAAATTTCATATCTACTTGATTGATTTTATGAATACACTAGTGTAACCCGTGCCTTTGAATTGCAAAAGTATAAACGGTGCAAAAATTAACACAGTGCAAAAGTATGAACTCGCCCAGTTGAAACCGGCCACATTACAGTAAATTTAATTCTGAGCGCCCAACACGTATCAAATAATACAGTAATACTTAATAGGCAATCTTGCGGCTCCTAGCTCTACTGCAAAATTGCCTAATTATAGACCAAAGCTGTAATAAGGGGAGCTGTAAATGGGGAGAGAGAGAGTGAGAGAGAGAGAGAGTGAGAGAGGGAGAAAATGTGAGACACTTTAGTATCACATTTGGGTTACAAAACCATTAATTAAACCAATTACCAATGGCCGATTTTTTAAAAATTTGTTTTGGCTTCATCAGAGTTTTTTCGAAACTCTACCGAAAAAACCAGTTCCACAACTCTTGCCGTTTTCCGTTCGGAAATTACACGCTCACCCACACACATTTTGAGTATTATTATAGACTAGTGTAACCCGTGCCTACTGCCGGGACTTCACTATCGCAGTTGAAATCCAAAAGTTTAAACCCGCCGATTATATTCGAAAACACGCATTACATTTTCGTAGTTAAAACGGTGCGAAAGTATGAAGTCGCTCAGTCCAAACAGACTACAATTTAATTCTGAGTGCCCCTCATGTATCTAATAGTAATACTTGATCTACGTAATCTATGAGAATTTATACATTTATAGCCCTTTTGTTATCACAGCAATGATGAAACCGTAAAGCAAAGTTCGTCGAGGTTCCCAAGAAAATAATTACTTTATTTAAATTGCTTAAGACATGGAGGGCTATAAAGTAACAAATAAAGAACATATAAATCAAAGACCACACCGACACATAATACAAAATATTAGAACACTTACATCTATATCTGGAGAGGATTCTCTGGAAGAAGTTTCAGGCGACAAAGAAGATTCTTTGACGTAGGCTTGTGGGATTCGCGGTGAAATGGACGGTCGTTTGGCCCTCCTCTGTCCCTCTTCAGAAGACGAACTCGTCTTCCTTTTAAAGCGGTTTCTGCTCTTATCATTCTTAAAAGTAGTCACTGTAACGCCACTATCTGATGATTCAGTTGAAGATGTTTTTGCTCTTAATGAAGACGCTGGAAAGTCTGATGAACAAGATTGGGGTAATGAAATTGATCTCTTCACAAACTTAGGTAGAGTTCTGGAAGCAGGCTTCTGCCATTTCGAATCAGAATCAACACTTACCCCAGACTGCAACTTCTTCGACAGTGGCATGGCACTTCCTGCCTTAATGCAGACTATTGGTTTTGCGGATGAGCTGCCAGAGATAATCCTCTGGATGTCTGACATTGTCGTTATCCTTTTAATCTCCGGCTTAATCTCTTTATGGTACAGATCAAGGTGAAGATACTTTGCAACAGCTATTTTACAGTTTTGCAGTAATTCCACTTGTTTCTGACAATACGCACAAATGAAGAGAGGTCCTTGTTTGATAAAATGACTGTTCAATGCCTCTACTTGCTGGGATGATCTGTCTCTGAGCTCCTTCTGGATTGTTACAATTTTCTTCCCAATTCCTAAACAGTTCTTGTTATAGTGAAACTTCTTCTCCTCGGGAGTATCAGAGTTGAAAACTGCACAAGGACAGTATTTGCACTGGTATTTGACTTTCTGTTGTGCTCCTGCAAAGTGAAGCATGTTACAACAACCTGCACAATTGTATCCCTAATAAGTATAGCTTATGAACTTTTTGATCAAACCAAAAGTAAAAATGCCATGCATAAGGGGTCGTTCACATATTACGTAATCATTTTTTGGAACATTTTTACCCCCCCCCCCCCCCCCCCGGCCCCCTCCGTAATCAGTTTTACACATAGCTATTGTGTCAAAATTACACTAGCGTTATCATTCGGAAACCCCCCCCCCCCCCCCCCTCTCAGCTGATTACGTAATATGTGAACGACCCCTAACACATAATTCTGAATTATGGAAGGTGAATAAAATTAGGATCGTGTTCTTGCAGAAAATACATTAAAGTACATATTAAGAACTATAATAATGATACTGTAAAATACGAATGAAGTTAGCTTTTTGCCAAAATAAAATGTCTCAAGTTCCTGACCTTTGGGCGGTGAGACCTTCTCAGAGACCTGGAATGTAAAGATTAAGTTAGTTATCCAACCGTGATTATCTTACTATATATAAAGCGAGACGATATATATGTGTTCATCCGTGCCATTTTACTGACACCACGGCATCAACTTTAACGCGACTTTCCGCAAAAACTGTAAATGATATAAAACTGAAAATTTTTTGACTGGGTCAAATGCTTTAATGGCCTTCAAATCAGCATGTAAAAATAAAAAAATCGGCCAAGGAATAGGAATTTTAGAGCCCAAAATTTGGACCCCCAAGTGGTGTCAAAAACGCGAATTAAATAGGTAATAATTATTTTAGTCTCTTGAGTCTTGACACCATTTTAGGGTTATACGGGTTCCTGCTAGTTCATTTAACACATATCCATGTAATATGTACATAAAAATGTCATAACTATTTCTTATCAAATTATATATTTTCAATGAACACAAATTAACAGTAAAGATTTAATAACCTGCCCATCAGCAACTTGGCTCTTTCTCCGTCCCAATTTTAGCTCGTTCTGAGTTATCTTATCTCTAATTTCGCTCTGTGAGTGATATTTCAATCTAACTCTAGCTCTATCAATAATACGTTATAATGTCTAATGACATAGCTAATTCATGGGTGACAGCGATTTTTTTGACACCCAAAATGACAAACCACAAATTACTTACAGGAACTATCATTGGAGGTCGTTCTGATCTGAGGGCAGTCATGGAGGCAGGATCCTGAAAACATTTTTGAGATTTTTGAATTAAATATTTTCTTTCAAATAATGTTCTTTTGCATAAACAGCAAAAATATAACTGAATTAATTTAATAATGGATATAACAAACAGTTAGTTGTGGCCTCCTTGGACAATAAATCAGTCTAATAAAGTAGAAATATGTATCTATCAGTATCATAGTGCTATACAAAATTTGATATAGTAGCTATTTTTCAAAGATAACGATTAGACAAAAGTCTTGGGTATACCTGCGGAAATTTGGGTACTCCTCGTTTCTTAGGAGGGGGTAGAACTTGAGGTTCTGCTGGACCAGCATGTTTTTCAACTATCTGCTGAGCACATTTCTTGGAAATACTAAACTTTTCAGCTATTTCTGCAACTTTTAGACCAGAATTGAATAAATTGACTATCCGTGAGGAATCAACTTTGTTACCAGTCTTCTGAAACAACATTCCAGTTAAACATTTTCTCAATATTTGTTTAAGGAATCGAAAGAAAAATTACTTGTACATCCTAGCAAAGAGGAATATACTATCAATACATAGTTGCTGTAATCACAGCGATTGTAAGAAAGGATTTGTATACTATTGAGTAGTCGCAACATGCCAAGATTTACAATGTTTACATTACCTCAACCTTCCTTCGTTTACTCTCTCTAGACAGCATTGATTTAACTGTGACAGTTGATTTCGAGTTCAGTTGCTCCAACTGAGGTTTAAGAGATGCCTTATTTGGGCGCGAAATGTAAGTGGACAACGAGACGTTTGGCTTCTTCTTTCTAACGCACAAATCTATTGTGGAGATTGTCTCTGTGTCACTGCCAGGGTCTGATAATTTTGCTCCTTTAGATAAAGAAGCAGACTGCTCTTCCTTGGGAACTAAGGGCGTTTCGAAGAGGGAGAACTTTGAAAGATCTGGATTTGGGTCAGGTAAAACTAAACAACTATCATCACTATCTGACATCTGAACAGTAGGAATTGGGTCAATACAATAATAATAATAATTTAAACTTTTAGATATTGAATTCTGTAACTAATAGGCAGCCGATGAAGATCTTTCAGAGTGTCTCCTAGATGATCATGTTTATATAGTCCTACTATAGCTTTAGCAGCAGCATTCTGAACGATGAGATTGCCACAAATTCCATAATAAACATCTTTGCAGTAGTCCAATTTGTGAACAATAAGCTTGAGCTGAGCTTTACTAAAGGGATATTTTCTCCTGATTACATTCTTAAGAAGACTCAAACAATCTTTTTTGAGGGACATGATTCGAGGGTCAAAAGTAAGATGATGGTCAATTTAATTGGGTAATAATAATAATAATTCTATACAGTTACATAATTGAAACAATTATGGCCCCTTATTGTGGGCAGAGTATGTGTCTTTGTTGAAGTGTCCTGATATAAACTTATCTGAGTGACTGCATTAAAATAATTTAAGGAGAGTTCTCTTAAAACTTTAAGACAATAGGAATAAATACTAGAACCTAATAAAATCAAAACAAAATGCAGCCACCTAATATGTTGTTAAGCTTTCTCTTCTCCTACGGTTGACTAGAGGAACCATCTTTGGCGAGTATTAGGAACTTAGACCATTACAAATACCGTGCTGTAAGTTTGCAAGGCATGTGGACTAAGCATGGATATAATGAGGAGTGTGCTAGTAGCAGTTAGAGGTGTACGTGGAAAGGCAAAGAAGGCATGGACTGCCCCTATATCCAATGTCTCCTTCAACCTGATACCTGAGGAGAAGAGCTACGAGGGATAGATGATATCTATTGCTCAGGATTTACGATTGTGCTCTGCCAATTGCATCACTTGATTTAATTTATTGTATATATACTGTTTGACATTTCTTTCTGGCCATGTAGGAGAGACATGACCTTAGTATCTGTGCTTCTGCTTGAGAAGCAGGAAAATATTCATTTGCTCCTTTCATCAATGTTATCCAGTTGCAGTATCTGACCCTCACTCAGTGGCGTAACGTTGCCTGTTGGCGCCCCCCCCCCCCCCCCCCCCCTGCCGAAAAGGCGCCCCCCTGTTGCATTGGCGCCCCCTCCCCTTTTGGTGCCCCTCCCTTAAATTGAACAAATTAGGTGATTTTAGAGGATACGCCGGTAAAATCTCTAAAAAAGTGTGTATCTAGAGCAAAACGCGCAGTTTTGCTAGTACTTTAATTAAGTTTTCGAAATTGTCCCACATTCAAACGACGATTTGGCGCCCCCCTAAGACGGCGCCCCCCTGCACAGCGGGGTCAGCGGGCCCTTCGTTACACCACTGCCCTCACTCTGATTTATTCTTGGGTTCAGCAGGAGATGTTTATTCCAAGTAAAGTCCATGAAGCGGATTATTTGAACTTCTTTTCAGTAGCTGACAACATCGTTCCGGACACTAGTCAGAAGGTCTATTTTGCTTCTGTTTAGTTCGTTGGACCCAGTTTTCCACGTTAGAAACTTACGTATCTCGTCAATATGGTGCTGGTATCGGTGGACCTTTGCCTTCTCTAGCTGCAAGATGAGCCCTTGCATAAATGGGTCACTTGCATAAGTGCTTTTATTATAAATTTTATAGTGACCATCTTGTAGGATATCTCAAGGGGTGGAATCCCAAGCGCAACAGATAACAATTATGCTCAACTAATATATAATGTGAAAATTGGCCACGGGCCTAAATATTACATATCAATCAATTACAATTCATTAACATTACCAATATTATAAACTGTCCAAAATATCTAAGAAAGTATTCTCTAGCCAAAGGGCTCAATATTTAAATCTAAATCTTCAATATTGTCTGGTTTATGTCGCAACTTGGGCCCTCTGGTCCCTCTTATCGAAATAACTGTTGTCTTTAATACCTCAAAGCGCAAGCGCTTTCTAAAATAGGATATACTAATACTAATATATAATACTAATATATAATACTAATTATTTTTTACAGATCCTGTCATCACTCCGGGAGTAATGGATATTATATGGTTTATTTCAATAAACGTGCCTCACCAATCAGATCAAGCAGAGACTTCGTACATACGATCAGCTGCTGCTGAATCGATCTGTAATACCATCAGTTTCAACACAGATAGGAGAAAATGGTTGAAGGCTGTTCGAACCCTGAACTTACCTAAAAGTAAAGCCCCTTCTAGTATGGGTGTTCATGATGAGCAGAGGGTGCAATATTGCAACAGACACTGGTAAGAGCTGCCGTAGGTTGCTAAGTACCTTGAGCAACAACTTACTCGTGATGAAGCACCTTTAGAACCTTTTGTAGGACCTCCTCGCCCACTATTTAAGCCATTCACTAGTGAAGAAATCGGATCAGCTGCTAGAAGTCTCAAAAATGGGTCGAGCAACGGCCAGATGGGATTCCTAATGAGCTTCTCAAGTTTCTACTGGATCAGTACACAGACTTTTGCAGACATTATCATAGAAGCTTCGAGACCAATTCCTACCTTGACCCCATTGGACAGGCAAACATGACCCCCTACAAAGCCAAAAACCCATTGGCCCAGGAAAATCTACACCCCTCACTCCCCTCAAAGCTTTTAGAAAGTTTTCTTCAATGAAACCTTTGAAAGAATTGAAAAAATTTCAACCCCTTCACTGGCCCCATGGCAATGTGCTTACAAGCAGGAACATGCGGACATTGTAGGTGCCACGGTGAGTACATTGCCCCGGGGAAGGGGGAAAACCAGTATGGGAGCATGTCTAGGGCTTGACACATCGACGATCTCCACCTGATCCCGGGAGGTGGCTGTGAGATACAAGTTTTTGGAAGACTTTTGCTTCCAACCCAAGCCGTCAACACAACGGTACACGTCGCTAAAATTCCAAAATTTCTCGGTCTTTCCAAGGTGACGCTGTCTGATCGTTCACATTTTGTCACGGTGCCTTTCGTGACCCCAACAGCTGAACTGCAACAAATACCCTAACCCACCTATCACCGTATGGTCTTCCACTTGACAGTGAGAGGGCTGAGATATCGACTTAAATGAGAAGAAACAATTTGGGAGCGTTGCCTATTGCCAACAAAGTCCTAAAGTTGAATCTCTCGTTACGAAGACAAAACTGATTCACTCATGTGCAGCTGAAAAGGAGCTAAGACATCAGGGTAGCCAAGCAGGAACACCCCTGCAGACAAGTATCCGCTTGCTCCATGCCCTTGTGTAAGGGCCCCCACCTGCGAAAGGTTGTCTGGGCCCCCCTTTTGGTGCCCCTCCCTTAAATTGAACAAATTAGGTGATTTTAGAGGATACGCCGGTAAAATCTCTAAAAAAGTGTGTATCTAGAGCAAAACGCGCAGTTTTGCTAGTACTTTAATTAAGTTTTCGAAATTGTCCCACATTCAAACGACGATTTGGCGCCCCCCTAAGACGGCGCCCCCCTGCACAGCGGGGTCAGCGGGCCCTTCGTTACACCACTGCCCTCACTCTGATTTATTCTTGGGTTCAGCAGGAGATGTTTATTCCAAGTAAAGTCCATGAAGCGGATTATTTGAACTTCTTTTCAGTAGCTGACAACATCGTTCCGGACACTAGTCAGAAGGTCTATTTTGCTTCTGTTTAGTTCGTTGGACCCAGTTTTCCACGTTAGAAACTTACGTATCTCGTCAATATGGTGCTGGTATCGGTGGACCTTTGCCTTCTCTAGCTGCAAGATGAGCCCTTGCATAAATGGGTCACTTGCATAAGTGCTTTTATTATAAATTTTATAGTGACCATCTTGTAGGATATCTCAAGGGGTGGAATCCCAAGCGCAACAGATAACAATTATGCTCAACTAATATATAATGTGAAAATTGGCCACGGGCCTAAATATTACATATCAATCAATTACAATTCATTAACATTACCAATATTATAAACTGTCCAAAATATCTAAGAAAGTATTCTCTAGCCAAAGGGCTCAATATTTAAATCTAAATCTTCAATATTGTCTGGTTTATGTCGCAACTTGGGCCCTCTGGTCCCTCTTATCGAAATAACTGTTGTCTTTAATACCTCAAAGCGCAAGCGCTTTCTAAAATATGATATACTAATACTAATATATAATACTAATATATAATACTAATTATTTTTTTACATATCCTGTCATCACTCCTGGAGTAATGGATACTATATGTTTATTTCAATAAATATAATAATCAATAAATTAGAATAGAAACTTGTCTTCTTTTCAGCTCACTCTTCTGAAACCTCTTCCTCTACATTCTCAGCCTCATCATCAACTTCATTATCTTCATCATCAACATCATCACCCCTGTCTTCATCATCTAATTAAACAACGCTAGTCATATAAATATATTAATTCGTTAAAACTAATAGAAGAAAGTATTGGGGAAGAGAGAAGCGGCAAACAAAGCAATCGGGGAAGGAAGTAAGTGCCCAATTATACAAGGAACATCGGTCATATTAATTTCAGTAAATGCACAACTAATATATAATACAGGATGGCCCAGAAATAACTGCCCACCTTTTAATAAATTACGTAATCCTTTTTAGAATTGCACAGAAATTTCAGAGATTATAGATATAGGTCAAACTTAGTACTTAGATTTACCTAACCATATATATATATAAACACGAGTTCAACTAACTAACCATGTGCGCCTCTGCGGGCGCGCGCTTGTTTCACAAGTTAAGAAAACTTTTTGCCGCACACCGGGATCGGCGGGCGCGCGCCACTGCAAGCGAAAGGGCTATGCATGGATAGAGCTTACCTGGGGACCCGGCCAGGCTATTATGTTTATAAATATAATAGAAATTTGGTGGAATGACAGCAGACAGGCTGAGCGCCGCTCAATAAGGATAGGGCAACACACGAGTGCACGGGTATGCCATTATATATAAAGTTGCTCTATCTATGATCTAGAGCCCTTGCGCTTGCAGTGGCGCGCCGCGCCCGCCTCACGGCTTTCTTGACTCGTGAAACAAGCGCGCCCGCAGTGGCGCGAAAACACATG